CGAAATACGGGGACGGCGCGCCAGGGAATACACGAAGGGTGCGCTAAGTGAGAGGGGGAGAGAGGACGCTGTAACGAACGGAAAAAACGAACTGGTGCTGGCGACCGATTTTAGGGTTAGGTGGCGTGGCGCGGATCTAAGCTTAGAAACTAGAAAGCTGAGAAAAGCGCGACGCGGTGAACTAGAAGAGAGAGAGGGAGGAGGGTGGGAGGCGAGCGAGAGTGACGGGGGACTTAGCCGGGGTGGGATGGCGAGATCGACGGGGGTGGCGAAAAATCGCTCGACACCGCAGGGTCGTGTTCGCCGCCGCTTCCGTCTCACCCGCTCGTAGCCGTTGCCGATACCCTCCCGTTACACCTCCGATACAAACACTAATAACAGCTTATGAAACAGTAACGTGAACAGTGGCAGCTAGAAGGCTCCTTAGGAAGGTAGGTAGGTAAGCAAGGTGGGCGAGAGCAGTACTGGGCAGGGTGACCTCCCGGGAAGTCCTCGTGTCGTACCCATTTCTGCCTGCTCCCGTGCCCGGGAGGGGGCGAGGGAGGGAGACCGTCCGAAGCTCGCCATCCTGGTTATGGGAGGGCAGTGGGTGGCAGGCCGGGGGCAATGATGGGGTCGCCTGAGGGGTGGTGGCTGGTAAGGGCTGCGCGCCAGCAGAGGGTGGAGTCGTGTCCGGCTGCTCCGAGCGCCGGGCTGCCCCGGGTGTCCCCTTGCCCTTGCCCTTCTTCCGGCGACCTGTGTGGGGTTGGGCAAACTGTCCAATCAGTGGCTGCCGTGTGACCGCCCCCTGCTGTGGGTGAGGAGTGTGAGAATGGGGCAGCTGGGAGGGTGAGGGGTGTGGCCGCCGATGGCCGCCTGCCGCGATGGGCTAGCCTGCGCATGGATGGCGGCCTGCCCTGGGGCGGGTGCAGATGGGGACAGGGGGGGAAAGAGAGGGGTGGTGGCGGTGGTGGAATCGGCAGCGCCATCCGTGAGGCCCCGCCCTCCCCCGACACCTTCCCCGTCCCCTTCCCCCTGGGCGTCTGCCGACATCGCTGCCTGTGCGGAGCGACGGTAAGGGGGGATGTAGGGTTGGGAGGAGACATCATGCAGGTCCCCTACTCCTGTTGTGTCGACGTCCATCGCGATGGGTGGCTCGCTGCGACCACCTGAATACTGACGGGCAAGGAGTGTGTGGGGCAGGAAGGGGGAGGGTGAGATGGGGGGCCGCCCTCGCCTCGCCCCTGTTCGCGCTGATGGGCCGGGCGGGAGTGGGGGGGCAGGGCAAGAGAGGTGGTTGGGCAGTAGGGTAAGGGTTAAGCGTGGGTGGGACGCTCAATGGAGGGGGTGGGAAGGGTGGGTGCCCCAGCGCTGGGCTGGAGGGTGTGTGAGACGGAAGTGACAAGGGAGGGCCCAAGAGGGAGGCACTCCCGTGGTCGCCTGCCGTGCGGGACATGAAACCTGGGGCTGCACGAAAGGGCGCGAGGGGAGTTCCGGCTGGATTGCCGGGGAAAGGGGGCGGGTGGGATGTGTGGGAGAGGGAGGGGGGGGCGGGACGCGGGCAAGGTAGGGCCCACGGCCTGGAAGGGAAGCAGAGTGGGCGCCGAGGGACCCCCGCCTTGCCCGAAGCTTAGCTGTGGGGCTTGGGAAGTGGGATCAGCCGGGGTGAGACGGCGAGGGCCGAGAGGGAGTTGATTCGGGTTGCTCCCCCTTGCCGGGGGTGCACCCCGCTCACCGTTCCTATGGGAAGCGCCCATGTGGCCGACAGGGTGTGTGCCCTGTGCCGGGCGGGAGGCACCTGGGGTGGAACAGGGTTGGGGGCGGACTGACGAGGGGGGTTGGGCAAGAGCCGCCCCTCCTTGTGCTACCCAGGTCGAGGCGTCCGGCGCGACAGCCTGCGTGGGTGGGGAGGGGGAGGGAGCAACCTGCCCATCAGAACTCCGCAGCGTAGCGCCAGTGGGCGAGAGCAGTTCTGGGCAGGGTGACCTCCCGGGAAGTCCTCGTGTCGTACCCATTTCTGCCTGCTCCCGTGCCCGGGAGGGGGCAGTGGGAAAAAGAAAGGAGGATTCTTCTCCGAACCGCCCGGGCGGCGATGTCGCGCCGCTCTGCGGAGGGCCGCTCTCTGCATAGGACGCCACGGAGCGCGACTACGTATGGGCGTCCATTCCGCCCCCAGCGAGATGGCGAGCCTCTTGCGGGCACGACCGCGGATGTGACTATAAAGAGGGGAGCTGCCTCGGGGGAGGAGTGGGAAGCGGACCGCGGACAGGACTGCACGTGGTACGATCATACCTTGGCTACTACGCCGGATCCCATCAGAACTCCGCAGCGTAGCGCCAGTGGGCGAGAGCAGTACTGGGCAGGGTGACCTCCCGGGAAGTCCTCGTGTCGTACCCATTTCTGCCTGCTCCGAACCGCCCGGGCGGCGATGTCGCGCCGCTCTGCGGAGGGCCGCTCTCTGCATAGGACGCCACGGAGCGCGACTACGTATGGGCGTCCATTCCGCCCCCAGCGAGATGGCGAGCCTCTTGCGGGCACGTTCGCGGATGTGACTATAAAGAGGGGAGCTGCATCGGGGGAGGAGTGGGAAGCGGACCGCGGACAGGACTGCACGTGGTACGATCATACCTTGGCTACTACGCCGGATCCCATCAGAACTCCGCAGCTAAGCGCCAGTGGGCGAGAGCAGTTATTTTATTAATAACAAAGAGAGTTACAAGTCATATAGCCAATATGAAACCGAAGTTGGAAATTTCGGCATAAATGTTACGCTATACGACCACAGTAATGTTTTTGGAAGTTAGGAAGAGAAGGGAAAGAAGAGAAGAGAAAGTAGAGAGGAAAAGAAGAGAAGGGAAGGTAGAAAGAGAGGGAAAGAAAGAGAAGGATAGAAGAAGTAGGAGGATCAAGAAAGATAGGAGTAAGGGAAAAGAAAGAGGGAGGTGAGAGGTGGAAGAGAGGGAGGGTGTGACTGTAAGGAGGGAGGGGTCCAAGGGACACGACAAAGCAGCAACCCGCGCCTACAGCGCAGACACAGCGTTTCAAGCACAGCCTACTCTTGTTTTCATCTACACATAGCCATCAAACAGGTACTGCATATCGGCCACACTGTCAAAGCAGCCACTGATGTGATGTCCGCTCCAGCTGCCTGCGCCAAGCGGTACCGGTATCGGCATCCATGCATCGTCCGACTCTCCCAGCTGTCGCACTGCATGCTGTGTGATAATGTTCGCCTGCGCACGCTGCAGCGCCACTGAAACTCGCGTGGTGAGAGCGCACTCAAAGATCCGCGCCGATGCCTCCTCCCCACTACCCGCGTCCCGCCGCTGCGTCGCTATGCGTTGTGAGCAGAGCCCCAGAAAATCTCGCAGTGGCACGCTCAAGTGCCCGAAAGTCTCAGCAACGCACGCATAGAACATCGGCTCCGGCTGCACCCCTACCAAGGCCGGCCGCCAGTCCCTGATCTTCTCCTGCACCCGCCTCGTCGCCGCCACCCCCCGCTGTGTGGATGCCGCTCGCCGAAACTGTGCGTTCCCACCCCGCTGTGGATCCGCTATCGACACGTCTATAATAATCATGAGTGCCTTCTCAGCGTCGCGGCATGTGAGGTCGGGGATGCGTGCGGGTGCTCCTGCGCGGCCTGCGCGTCCGGCTGTGCTGTGCTGCGGTGTGGGCTGCTGCCTAGTCGTGTCCCCTGGTCCCCCTCCTCCTTGTGCCATTGTCCCCCCTCATCCTCCTCTCTCACCCTCCCTTCCCTTTCCCTTGCCCCTACCCCTCCCAACCCCCCTGCCTCTCCTATCCCCTCCCCCAGACCCTCTCCATCTACCTGCCCCGCTCCTCCCGTCCTCCCCACTCCCTCGCCCCCCCCCGTCCCCCCTGCTATCCCCCCTCCCCGTGCCACTCTCTCGCCCTCCTGTGCCCCTGTCCCCTGGCGGGGATCAAGCTCCACACCCCCTCTGGCCCCTCTAGCTGCCTCTGGCCCGTCCCGTGCTCGGTCCCCTGCTATCTGACCCCCTCCCTCGACCATGACTATCTCCTCGATCTCCTCCCCCCCACCACCCTGTGGTCGGGCTGCCCCCCCCTCTCCTGCGGTACCCTGAGTCCTTTCCCCCCGAGCCCCATCCGCCCTTCCCCCTTCCTGAGCCCCCCGTCTCCCTCGCCCCAGGCGCCTCCCCTGGCCCTCCCTCAGCTGCGGCTGCTGCGGCTGTACCGTCCCACCGTGTGAAACGGGCTGTCCCTGTGGCCGTGGCCCCTGTCCAAGGACTCCCGCCTCTGTCCCCCGCGTCTGCGGCACCAGCCGTGCCTGCTGTCCCGACTGTCCCGGCAGTCCCCACACTCCCTGCTGTCCTGGTGCTCCCCCCCCTCCCTCGTGTCCCTCCCCCCACCCTGCTGCCCCTCCCCCCCTCCTTGCTGTCCCTCCCCCCCACCCTGCTGTCCCTCCCCCCCTCCCTGCTGTCCCTCCCCCCCTCCCTGCTGTCCCTCCCCCCCTCCCTGCCGTCCCTCCTCCCCTCCCTGGGCCCTCTGTGCCCCCGTCCTGTCCGAGTCCGTCCCTGTGCCAGCGTAGGCCCTCCCGCCTGTGCCCCCTCCCGCTGCCGCTGGGCTGTCAAGCGCCGTCGCACCTCCTCCAGGTGTGGGATGAGCGCCGTGTCCTCCACCCTGACCGCGAAACCCGCCTCGCGCGCGATGTCGCGAAGGACGTACTTCACGGCGTTGTGGACGGTCGTGGTGACGTGGTAGTGCTGACAGCGTACGACGTGGTGGGGCACCGACATGTCCTCGATCTCCCGTCCGCACGAGCAATGACCTGTAAGGGCTAACTGGGGGATAGACAGACCAAGGCGAAAACATGAAGCCACCTGCCACTGCGCCTCCGGGATGCGCAGTGGATCTGCATAAGGGACCGCCGTGAGCCACGCGCCTGCATCTGCGCCCTGAAGGGATGTCAAACGGGCAAGATGCAAAGGGTCAGTGTGACGTCCACGAACGGACTCTAATGCCGCCGCCTCTAGGTGCCGACTCACCTCAGAAAACAGACCGTCCGGCGCGCTCGAGATGCAAGAGGACAGGGGTGGCAGCAAGGCCCGGACTGACGGTGGAAGGTCTGCCAAAGCCGTCGCGATGTGGGGATCGATCCCTGCGGGGTCCTCCGCCGCGAGCGCCCGTCTGAAGGACTCACCGATCTGTGGGAGGGAGCAGAGGATGGGGGCGCACTGCGCCCAGGAGCAGAGGTAGCTCGCTGGCGCCGCGCGCGCCATGCGGCGGATGCCGAATCCGCCCAGCCTAATGGGCAGAAATGCCTGGTCCAAGGCCGCGCCGCGTATCTCTCCTCCTCCGCTCCAGGTGCCCGCGACGAATAGCCGCTGGAAGGCCTCGCCGAGGCCATCGTCCCAGCGCGCGAAGATGGAGCGCACCGCCTGTGTGGGCGGGACCGTGCGCGCTAGGTACTGAGGGCGCGTGCTGACGCATGCTGAGAGCAGGTGCGCAGCCACCTGGGGGTCACGCAACCTAGGCAGCCACGGCAGCACTCGGGCCATCCGCTCCAGGCGCTCCCTGAGTCTCGTGTGGACGAAATCCTCCGTGCCGACAGGCACCCCCGCAACCGTCAAACCCCGGCGCGCGACATCGAGGCCGAGGGCGGTGAAGCCTGCCAACTCCTCCGGTCGTGTGGACGCCGCTGGGTAGACCAGGCACTTGTGCGGCTGGACCGAGAGGCCCAGCTCGCCCAAGCGCCTCTGAATGGCAGTGAAGCTCTGCAACACCCTCTCTGGTGTGCCCAGGACGTACGTGTCATCCGCGTATGACCACAGCTGCACGTCCCCGTCCGCCAGCACTGGCTCCAGTGCCAGCCTCTGTGTCAGGGCAAAGAGAAATGGGCTCAGAGGGTCGCCCTGACGAGATCCTCGCTCTGAGCGGATGGTGGTGACTCCTCGCCCGGTCCGAAAGAACAGCGAGGATGGCGTGCCGTAGAAAAGGGCAACGAAAGGGATGAGGCAGCGAAACTCGGAGCTCGCTCGCAGTGCCTCGAACAAGCGATCGCGGTGATACGAGTTAAAGGCGTTCGCCACGTCGAGCTCGACGACCACCCAGTCCGGGTGGTCCGCCCTGCCGCGACGGACGCCCCTAACGACCAGCTCAGTACCGCAGGTCACCCCGACCCCGAACTGCTGTGATGGTAGAAAGACTCGAGCCATCGGCTCGCGCAACTGCAGGCATGCCGCCCGCTGGAGTAGGCGCGCAAGGACCTCGCCTATGGCTATCGGCCGAACGTCCATGTTCGGCTTGGAGAGCGCGACGAGGGTGGATGATGCCAGCATGGGAAGTGCGGCCGGGGCGCAGTCGCCCCGGAGCCACTGCTGGTAGACAGCAAGCAAGGTAGGGAGGGCCTTCGGGAAGGCCAAGAAGGTGTCGCGGAAGTGCTCGGCCACCCATCCCGAAGGTCCTCCCGAAGAGCCCCTCGGAGCGGTGAAAATGGCCCTGCGCAGATGCTCAATGCTCAGGACCAGGGCTGCATCCCGGAAGGAGGCCACCCATGCTGGGATGGGGCGCTCCGCGCAAGGGTGCTTCGCCCGTAGGCGGTGCACCGTCTGATCTCCGTCCGGGGCCGCCTCTGCCGACTCCAAGGCCGCACAAGCACGTGACGTCTCATTGCACGCTGCCAGGCGGAGGCAACGGGCAATGCGGCGCTCGTCAGGCGTCGGAGTCGCGGCGCGGGCGCGGCGTGTCGTGCATGCCGCGAGGGGTGTGCGGCGGTGGAGCGCCTCTGCTATGAGGGCGTCCCAATCTCCACCAAGGAAGCGCGCAATGCGCGCAGTGATGGCCGCCGTATGTGATCGTGCAGGTGGTGTAGCGGGCGTGAGGAGGAGGGTCGGGATGGCCAACAGCAGAAACGTCGGCCCGCCCGCCCTGGGGTGCTGGCTGATGCGCTGCAAGATCGCGCAGAGGACATCCACGTACCCCCCGCGAACCCTCGGCGGGATACGCCGGAGCGGGCGAGCATGCATGCGTCTCGGTGAGAAATAATCCGTCCAATCGACCGCATCCAAGGACGACCACTGGACGTCCGAGAATGTGACGACGGAGGCGCGTGGCTCGCTGAATGAGGGAGGGGAAGAGGTGGCATCCTGCAGGGCCTCCGCCCTGCGTAGAGCATCGGCGGGCTGGCAATGGGGTGCATGGAGAGCAAGAGCGTGGCTGCTCACCAAGGTGCTCCGGCAGGTAGGACACGTGACCGCTAGTCCTCCTGTCGGCACCGCTGTGTCGTGCGGGGGGACTGGCATCGTGCTCTCCGAGCTATCAGCGCCGACGACCGCCTCTTCGATGGGCCCCTGTCCGAGGTCGGTGGCCCAAGTGGGGGGCGGGCCGTGCGTCTGGGGCGGGCAAGGCAATGGCCGGGGGGGAGGAGCGACGGCGGGATGCGCGGGCGTGGGTGAGGATGGTACGACCAAGGGGACAGTGGCTAGGGCGGGGCATGCGTCTGGATGGCAGGCTAGCTCAGTGGCCTCGCCGGGGGACGTAGGAGCTGGGGTGTGGGCAGCTGGAGCAGTGGATGCGTCTGGGCAGAGGGGGTGGTCGGGGGCCGCGTCGGAGTCATCGATCACCATGCGCTCCGGTGTGAGGGCGGTGGACGGGGGGGAAGGGGGGGCATGGGAGATGTCTGGAGCAGGGTCCACGGTGCCCCCCCCCACCCGACCCGGACAAGCGGGCGCAGAGGGGGTGGCGGACGCGTCCCATATCCTGAGAAGGTCGGCAACTGCCGCCTCCGTCTCCCCATCTGCCCCCTGCGACTGTCCGCCTGTGGGTAGGGGGAGCAGGGCAGGCTGGTTGGTCGTGGTGGGCGAACCACCGTGGGACCTGGCCTGGGTCGGAGGTTGTGGACCGGAGGGGGACAAAGAAGCGGGTGGTGGGGACCGACGCTGGGGGGGGATATAGGCTTGCTTGCGAGAGGCTAACGACCCCTCTTCCACCGCCGGTTCGATTTCCATCGCGGATGGGGCATCGGCGGCGACTGTCTGGTGGGGGGCCAGGGGCGGGATGGGGGGGTGACAGGGGAGTGAGGCCTGGGTGGGGCGAGGGAGGGAGACCGTCCGAAGCTCGCCATCCTGGTTATGGGAGGGCAGTGGGTGGCAGGCCGGGGGCAATGATGGGGTCGCCTGAGGGGTGGTGGCTGGTAAGGGCTGCGCGCCAGCAGAGGGTGGAGTCGTGTCCGGCTGCTCCGAGCGCCGGGCTGCCCCGGGTGTCCCCTTGCCCTTGCCCTTCTTCCGGCGACCTGTGTGGGGTTGGGCAAACTGTCCAATCAGTGGCTGCCGTGTGACCGCCCCCTGCTGTGGGTGAGGAGTGTGAGAATGGGGCAGCTGGGAGGGTGAGGGGGTGTGGCCGCCGATGGCCGCCTGCCGCGATGGGCTAGCCTGCGCATGGATGGCGGCCTGCCCTGGGGCGGGTGCAGATGGGGACAGGGGGGGAAAGAGAGGGGTGGTGGCGGTGGTGGAATCGGCAGCGCCATCCGTGAGGCCCCGCCCTCCCCCGACACCTTCCCCGTCCCCTTCCCCCTGGGCGTCTGCCGACATCGCTGCCTGTGCGGAGCGACGGTAAGGGGGATGTAGGGTTGGGAGGAGACATCATGCAGGTCCCCTACTCCTGTTGTCGACGTCCATCGCGGATGGGTGGCTCGCTGCGACCACCTGAATACTGACGGGCAAGGAGTGTGTGGGGCAGGAAGGGGGAGGGTGAGATGGGGGGCCGCCCTCGCCTCGCCCCTGTTCGCGCTGATGGGCCGGGCGGGAGTGGGGGGGCAGGGCAAGAGAGGTGGTTGGGCAGTAGGGTAAGGGTTAAGCGTGGGTGGGACGCTCAATGGAGGGGGTGGGAAGGGTGGGTGCCCCAGCGCTGGGCTGGAGGGTGTGTGAGACGGAAGTGACAAGGGAGGGCCCAAGAGGGAGGCACTCCCGTGGTCGCCTGCCGTGCGGGACATGAAACCTGGGGGCTGCACGAAAGGGCGCGAGGGGAGTTCCGGCTGGATTGCCGGGGAAAGGGGCGGGTGGGATGTGTGGGAGAGGAGGGGGGGGGCGGACGCGGGCAAGGTAGGGCCCACGGCCTGGAAGGGAAGCAGAGTGGGCGCCGAGGGACCCCCGCCTTGCCCGAAGCTTAGCTGTGGGCTTGGGAAGTGGGATCAGCCGGGGTGAGACGGCGAGGGCCGAGAGGGAGTTGATTCGGGTTGCTCCCCCTTGCCGGGGTGCACCCCGCTCACCGTTCCTATGGGAAGCGCCCATGTGGCCGACAGGGTGTGTGCCCTGTGCCGGGCGGGAGGCACCTGGGGTGGAACAGGGTTGGGGGCGGACTGACGAGGGGGGTTGGCAAGAGCCGCCCCTCCTTGTGCTACCCAGGTCGAGGCGTCCGGCGCGACAGCCTGCGTGGGTGGGGAGGGGAGGGAGCAACCTGCCCGGCTGTTGTTTGTGCTCCTGGCGCCGGCGCGAGGGCTGATGAGGGAGAGCATGGAAGGGTTGAGTCGACCAAGATATATCCGGCGAGCGGGCCATCATTGTCCGAGCCATCCTCGGCGGCCGCCTCGTGGGGCACACTCGGCTGTAAGGGGAGGTGTGGGGGGAGAGGAGTGGTGAGACTGCGTCCCGATCATTGGCTCGGGTGTACAGGGGTCCGCCAAAAACGCCAAGGCTCGGGCCGCCCCGCCCATAGCCCTGGGTTGTAGCCCACGGCGAGGGCCCTGCGCCGCTGGTGAAGCTCCTGCATGCATGGGATTGGGAGTAGGGGGGGGAAGGGGGGGACGGGGGACCGCAAGGGAAGTAGGGGGAGGAGGGGAAGGAGGGGGGGGAGGGGGGAGATGGAGGGGGTGGGAGGGGATGAGACAGTCTCTTCCGGCCCAGGTGCTGCCCTGTGTCCTGCCTCCTTAGCCCTCGTCCCAGTTACTGCCTTACCTTCGGCCGCTCCGGCTGCTGTCTCTCTCACCACACCTCCTGCTGGAGCTGCCGCAGCTGCTGCCCTTCCTGCAGCGGCTCCCGCTGCCCTCTCCCGTGCAGCACCTCTTGCCGCTGCCCGTGTTGCTGCTGTTGCTGCCTTCCCTGCTGCCGCCCCAGCTGCCCTTCCTGTTGCTGCCATCCCCGCAGCTACCCCGGCAGTTGTCTCCCCCGCGGCACGCCCTGCTGATCCTGCTGCTACCTTCCCTGCAGCCGCTTCCGCTACTGCCCCCGGTGCGGCACCCCCTGCTGCCCCTTTTCCGCTGACACCACCGCAGCCGCCGCCGCCGCCGTTGCCGCCGCCGCCGCTGTCGCGGCCCTGCTAGCCGCTGCCTGCGAAACAGCGGGACCCATTGCTACTTTCCCTGCCGCTGCCCCCGCTGCTGCCTTCCCTGCCGCAGCACTTGCTGCTGGTTTCCCTGTGGCGCTCCCCCTGGCTGCCTTCCCCGCAGCGGCCCCTATCTCTGCCTCCTCCGCTGCTGCCGCAGCAGCTGCCAGACGTGCATACATCCCCCCCCCGGTAATAGCCCGTGCGAGAGCGCGTACAACAGCTCCCTTTCCTGCCTCCTCCGCCGTAGGTAGCCTTGCCGCTGCTGCCGCCTCCGGCGGCTCTCCTATCCCTGCCGCACCAGCAGCCGCCCCTGCACGTGCTCCAGTGGGCGAGAGCAGTACTGGCAGGGTGACCTCCCGGGAAGTCCTCGTGTCGTACCCATTTCTGCCTGCTCCCGTGCCCGGGAGGGGGCAGTGGGAAAAAGAAAGGAGGATTCTTCTCCGAACCGCCCGGGCGGCGATGTCGCGCCGCTCTGCGGAGGGCCGCTCTCTGCATAGGACGCCACGGAGCGCGACTACGTATGGGCGTCCATTCCGCCCCCAGCGAGATGGCGAGCCTCTTGCGGGCACGACCGCGGATGTGACTATAAAGAGGGGAGCTGCATCGGGGGAGGAGTGGGAAGCGGACCGCGGACAGGACTGCACGTGGTACGATCATACCTTGGCTACTACGCCGGATCCCATCAGAACTCCGCAGCGTAGCGCCAGTGGGCGAGAGCAGTACTGGGCAGGGTGACCTCCCGGGAAGTCCTCGTGTCGTACCCATTTCTGCCTGCTCCCGTGCCCGGGAGGGGGCAGTGGGAAAAAGAAAGGAGGATTCTTCTCCGAACCGCCCGGGCGGCGATGTCGCGCCGCTCTGCGGAGGGCCGCTCTCTGCATAGGACGCCACGGAGCGCGACTACGTATGGGCGTCCATTCCGCCCCCAGCGAGATGGCGAGCCTCTTGCGGGCACGTTCGCGGATGTGACTATAAAGAGGGGAGCTGCCTCGGGGGAGGAGTGGGAAGCGGACCGCGGACAGGATTGCACGTGGTACGATCATACCTTGGCTACTACGCCGGATCCCATCAGAACTCCGCAGCGTAGCGCCAGTGGGCGAGAGCAGTACTGGGCAGGGTGACCTCCCGGGAAGTCCTCGTGTCGTACCCATTTCTGCCTACTCCCGTGCCCGGGAGGGGGCAGTGGGAAAAAGAAAGGAGGATTCTTCTCCGAACCGCCCGGGCGGCGATGTCGCGCCGCTCTGCGGAGGGCCGCTCTCTGCATAGGACGCCACGGAGCGCGACTACGTATGGGCGTCCATTCCGCCCCCAGCGAGATGGCGAGCCTCTTGCGGGCACGACCGCGGATGTGACTATAAAGAGGGGAGCTGCATCGGGGGAGGAGTGGGAAGCGGACCGCGGACAGGACTGCACGTGGTACGATCATACCTTGGCTACTACGCCGGATCCCATCAGAACTCCGCAGCGTAGCGCCAGTGGGCGAGAGCAGTACTGGGCAGGGTGACCTCCCGGGAAGTCCTCGTGTCGTACCCATTTCTGCCTGCTCCCGTGCCCGGGAGGGGGCAGTGGGAAAAAGAAAGGAGGATTCTTCTCCGAACCGCCCGGGCGGCGATGTCGCGCCGCTCTGCGGAGGGCCGCTCTCTGCATAGGACGCCACGGAGCGCGACTACGTATGGGCGTCCATTCCGCCCCCAGCGAGATGGCGAGCCTCTTGCGGGCACGTTCGCGGATGTGACTATAAAGAGGGGAGCTGCCTCGGGGGAGGAGTGGGAAGCGGACCGCGGACAGGACTGCACGTGGTACGATCATACCTTGGCTACTACGCCGGATCCCATCAGAACTCCGCAGCGTAGCGCCAGTGGGCGAGAGCAGTACTGGGCAGGGTGACCTCCCGGGAAGTCCTCGTGTCGTACCCATTTCTGCCTGCTCCCGTGCCCGGGAGGGGGCAGTGGGAAAAAGAAAGGAGGATTCTTCTCCGAACCGCCCGGGCGGCGATGTCGCGCCGCTCTGCGGAGGGCCGCTCTCTGCATAGGACGCCACGGAGCGCGACTACGTATGGGCGTCCATTCCGCCCCCAGCGAGATGGCGAGCCTCTTGCGGGCACGACCGCGGATGTGACTATAAAGAGGGGAGCTGCATCGGGGGAGGAGTGGGAAGCGGACCGCGGACAGGACTGCACGTGGTACGATCATACCTTGGCTACTACGCCGGATCCCATCAGAACTCCGCAGCGTAGCGCCAGTGGGCGAGAGCAGTACTGGGCAGGGTGACCTCCCGGGAAGTCCTCGTGTCGTACCCATTTCTGCCTGCTCCCGTGCCCGGGAGGGGGCAGTGGGAAAAAGAAAGGAGGATTCTTCTCCGAACCGCCCGGGCGGCGATGTCGCGCCGCTCTGCGGAGGGCCGCTCTCTGCATAGGACGCCACGGAGCGCGACTACGTATGGGCGTCCATTCCGCCCCCAGCGAGATGGCGAGCCTCTTGCGGGCACGTTCGCGGATGTGACTATAAAGAGGGGAGCTGCCTCGGGGGAGGAGTGGGAAGCGGACCGCGGACAGGATTGCACGTGGTACGATCATACCTTGGCTACTACGCCGGATCCCATCAGAACTCCGCAGCGTAGCGCCAGTGGGCGAGAGCAGTACTGGGCAGGGTGACCTCCCGGGAAGTCCTCGTGTCGTACCCATTTCTGCCTGCTCCCGTGCCCGGGAGGGGGCAGTGGGAAAAAGAAAGGAGGATTCTTCTCCGAACCGCCCGGGCGGCGATGTCGCGCCGCTCTGCGGAGGGCCGCTCTCTGCATAGGACGCCACGGAGCGCGACTACGTATGGGCGTCCATTCCGCCCCCAGCGAGATGGCGAGCCTCTTGCGGGCACGTTCGCGGATGTGACTATAAAGAGGGGAGCTGCCTCGGGGGAGGAGTGGGAAGCGGACCGCGGACAGGATTGCACGTGGTACGATCATACCTTGGCTACTACGCCGGATCCCATCAGAACTCCGCAGCGTAGCGCCAGTGGGCGAGAGCAGTACTGGGCAGGGTGACCTCCCGGGAAGTCCTCGTGTCGTACCCATTTCTGCCTGCTCCCGTGCCCGGGAGGGGGCAGTGGGAAAAAGAAAGGAGGATTCTTCTCCGAACCGCCCGGGCGGCGATGTCGCGCCGCTCTGCGGAGGGCCGCTCTCTGCATAGGACGCCACGGAGCGCGACTACGTATGGGCGTCCATTCCGCCCCCAGCGAGATGGCGAGCCTCTTGCGGGCACGTTCGCGGATGTGACTATAAAGAGGGGAGCTGCCTCGGGGGAGGAGTGGGAAGCGGACCGCGGACAGGATTGCACGTGGTACGATCATACCTTGGCTACTACGCCGGATCCCATCAGAACTCCGCAGCGTAGCGCCAGTGGGCGAGAGCAGTACTGGGCAGGGTGACCTCCCGGGAAGTCCTCGTGTCGTACCCATTTCTGCCTGCTCCCGTGCCCGGGAGGGGGCAGTGGGAAAAAGAAAGGAGGATTCTTCTCCGAACCGCCCGGGCGGCGATGTCGCGCCGCTCTGCGGAGGGCCGCTCTCTGCATAGGACGCCACGGAGCGCGACTACGTATGGGCGTCCATTCCGCCCCCAGCGAGATGGCGAGCCTCTTGCGGGCACGACGCGGATGTGACTATAAAGAGGGGAGCTGCATCGGGGGAGGAGTGGGAAGCGGACCGCGGACAGGACTGCACGTGGTACGATCATACCTTGGCTACTACGCCGGATCCCATCAGAACTCCGCAGCGTAGCGCCAGTGGGCGAGAGCAGTACTGGGCAGGGTGACCTCCCGGGAAGTCCTCGTGTCGTACCCATTTCTGCCTGCTCCCGTGCCCGGGAGGGGGCAGTGGGAAAAAGAAAGGAGGATTCTTCTCCGAACCGCCCGGGCGGCGATGTCGCGCCGCTCTGCGGAGGGCCGCTCTCTGCATAGGACGCCACGGAGCGCGACTACGTATGGGCGTCCATTCCGCCCCCAGCGAGATGGCGAGCCTCTTGCGGGCACGTTCGCGGATGTGACTATAAAGAGGGGAGCTGCCTCGGGGGAGGAGTGGGAAGCGGACCGCGGACAGGATTGCACGTGGTACGATCATACCTTGGCTACTACGCCGGATCCCATCAGAACTCCGCAGCGTAGCGCCAGTGGGCGAGAGCAGTACTGGGCAGGGTGACCTCCCGGGAAGTCCTCGTGTCGTACCCATTTCTGCCTGCTCCCGTGCCCGGGAGGGGGCAGTGGGAAAAAGAAAGGAGGATTCTTCTCCGAACCGCCCGGGCGGCGATGTCGCGCCGCTCTGCGGAGGGCCGCTCTCTGCATAGGACGCCACGGAGCGCGACTACGTATGGGCGTCCATTCCGCCCCCAGCGAGATGGCGAGCCTCTTGCGGGCACGACCGCGGATGTGACTATAAAGAGGGGAGCTGCATCGGGGGAGGAGTGGGAAGCGGACCGCGGACAGGACTGCACGTGGTACGATCATACCTTGGCTACTACGCCGGATCCCATCAGAACTCCGCAGCGTAGCGCCAGTGGGCGAGAGCAGTACTGGGCAGGGTGACCTCCCGGGAAGTCCTCGTGTCGTACCCATTTCTGCCTGCTCCCGTGCCCGGGAGGGGGCAGTGGGAAAAAGAAAGGAGGATTCTTCTCCGAACCGCCCGGGCGGCGATGTCGCGCCGCTCTGCGGAGGGCCGCTCTCTGCATAGGACGCCACGGAGCGCGACTACGTATGGGCGTCCATTCCGCCCCCAGCGAGATGGCGAGCCTCTTGCGGGCACGACGCGGATGTGACTATAAAGAGGGGAGCTGCCTCGGGGGAGGAGTGGGAAGCGGACCGCGGACAGGACTGCACGTGGTACGATCATACCTTGGCTACTACGCCGGATCCCATCAGAACTCCGCAGCGTAGCGCCAGTGGGCGAGAGCAGTACTGGGCAGGGTGACCTCCCGGGAAGTCCTCGTGTCGTACCCATTTCTGCCTGCTCCCGTGCCCGGGAGGGGGCAGTGGGAAAAAGAAAGGAGGATTCTTCTCCGAACCGCCCGGGCGGCGATGTCGCGCCGCTCTGCGGAGGGCCGCTCTCTGCATAGGACGCCACGGAGCGCGACTACGTATGGGCGTCCATTCCGCCCCCAGCGAGATGGCGAGCCTCTTGCGGGCACGTCGCGGATGTGACTATAAAGAGGGGAGCTGCCTCGGGGGAGGAGTGGGAAGCGGACCGCGGACAGGACTGCACGTGGTACGATCATACCTTGGCTACTACGCCGGATCCCATCAGAACTCCGCAGCGTAGCGCCAGTGGGCGAGAGCAGTACTGGGCAGGGTGACCTCCCGGGAAGTCCTCGTGTCGTACCCATTTCTGCCTGCTCCCGTGCCCGGGAGGGGCAGTGGGAAAAAGAAAGGAGGATTCTTCTCCGAACCGCCCGGGCGGCGATGTCGCGCCGCTCTGCGGAGGGCCGCTCTCTGCATAGGACGCCACGGAGCGCGACTACGTATGGGCGTCCATTCCGCCCCCAGCGAGATGGCGAGCCTCTTGCGGGCACGACCGCGGATGTGACTATAAAGAGGGGAGCTGCCTCGGGGGAGGAGTGGGAAGCGGACCGCGGACAGGACTGCACGTGGTACGATCATACCTTGGCTACTACGCCGGATCCCATCAGAACTCCGCAGCTAAGCGCCAGTGGGCGAGAGCAGTTTTCTCATTAAAAATGACGAGGGTTACAAGTCATATAGCAATTCTAAAGCCAAATATGAGATTTTCGGCATGAGCGTTGCGCTATTATGACATAGTAGCGTTTAGAGGTATAGAAGAAAAAAAGAGAGAGAGAAGAGATAGAGAAGGAAAGAAAGAGAAGATAGTGGAAGGAAGAAGGTAGCAGAAAGAGTGGGGGAGAAGAGAGCGAGAAAGAGGAGAGAAAGAGAAGAGGGGAAGAGGGGAGGGGGGGTGTGACTATATCAAAGGGACATCCTGGGACCTAACAAAACAACAGCCCACGCGCACAGCGCGGGCACAGCGTCTCAAGCACGGCCTATATATGTTTTTCTACACATATGCATCATACATGTACTGCATATCTGCTGCACTCTCGAAGCACCCTGTGATGTGGTGCCAACTCCCCTGCCCAGCGCCCAAAGGTACAGGCGCTGGCATCCATCCATTGTCGGAGCCGCCCAGCTGCCGCACTGCATGCTGCATGATCACATTTGCCTGCGCGCGCTGCAGTGCCACGGAGAGACGCGTAGTGAGGCTCGTCTCAAATATCCGTGCCGACCCGTCATCCCCTGCCCCTGAATCTCTCCTCCGCCGTGCTGTCCGCGATGCACACAGCCCTAGGAACTGCCGCAGTGGCTCACTCAGGCACCCAAAAGTCTCCACTACGCAGGCGTAAAACTCTGGATCCGGCTGCAACCCCTGTAACACCGGCCTCCAGTGTCGCAGCTTGTCCTGCACCCGCCTAGCTGCTGCGCCGCCAATCTGAGTGGGTGCCATCCGCCTGAACTGCGCATTCCCCTCCCGCTGTGGGTCTGCCACCGAGACGTCTACAATCACCATCAAAGCATCTCGCGGCGCCCTGCAGGTGAGGTCGGGAATGCGGGCGGGTGCCCCTATGCGGCCTGTGCGAGCGGCTGGCGTCTGCTGCTGCTGCGCGGGCTGCTGCTCTGTCTGGTCCCCTGATGTCCCTCCTCTGGTCGTCGTGGTCCCCCTCCCAACTCCCCCTCTCACCCTCCCTCTCCTCCCTCCCGCTCTCCCCTCCCCCACTCCCCCTGCCACCCCCGCCCCTTCCGCCATCTCCTCTCTCCCTCCCGCCCCCCTCCCCTCCCGCCCTCCGTCCCTCCTATACCCCCGCCTACTACCGACCCCTCTAGCCCACCCTCGCCTGTCCTCCCCTCCGCGTGCGCCTCTCCTACCGCCTCGCGCGCGAAACGCACACGCCTCGGCGGTGCCCTGCCCAAGAGCCCGTCCCCTGTCCCCTGCTGCTGTCCTGCCTGGGCCCCCTGCTGCGGCCCTGCCTGAGCTCCCAGCGGCTGCTGTACCTGCCCCTCTCCCCCCGCGCGCCGCTGCTGCCCCTCTCCGCCACCCTGCCGCTGCTGCTGCTGCTCCTCCTCCCGCCGGCTCTCCCCCGTGCCCTGCTGCTGTTGCTGCTGCTGCTGCTGCGGCTGCTGCTGCTGCTGCTGCTGCTGCTGCTGCTGATCCTCCCTGCCGAACCGCCGCTGCTGCCCCTCCTGCTCCTCCTCCGCCCCCTGCCTCTCTCCCTCCTCACCCGCCTGCCTCTCCCCCCCCTCCTGATCCCGCCGCTGCTGCCGTCCTGTCTGTCGTGCCCGCTCCTGCCCCTGCCCCTCCCCCGCGTGCAAAACCTGCAGTCGAGCTCGCGCCGCCTCCAGGTGCGGAATGAGCGCCGTGTCCTCCACCTGGACAGCGAAGCCGGCCTCGTCTGCGAAGTCACGAAGCATGAACTTCACTGTGTCGTGGATGGTCGTGGCGACCGCGAAGCGCGCGCACCTCACCGCGTGATGCGGCACCGACATGTCGGCGATCTCCTCTCCGCACGAGCACTGACCTGCCAGGACTAACTGGGGAATGGGGAGACCGAGACGAAAGCATGAAGCCACCTGCCACTGCGCCTCCGGAATGCGCAGGGAGTCCGCGTAGGGTACCGCCGTAAGCCAAGCTCCCGCACCTGGACCCTGAAGGGATGTCAAACGGGCAAGATGCAGGGGATCAGTATGACGGGCACGTACCGACTCCAAAGCGTGCGCCTCGATGTGTCTGCTGGCCTCTCTGAAAAGGCCGTCCGGTGCTCCTGTCGCGCAAGAAGGCCAGGCCGGCATGAGGCGTAGGACGTCCGCCGGCAGGGCCTCCTGAGCCATCATGATGTGCGGATCGATCTGGGCGGGCTCACCTGATGCGAAGCTCTGACGGAAGCCCTCCCCCACCGACGGCAACGAGCAGAGAATCGGTGCGCACTGCGCCCACGAACAGAGATAACTCACCGGGGCGATGCGCTCCATGCGTCGGATGCCGAAGCCCCCGATGCGAATCGGGAGGAAAGCCTGCTCCAGGGCTGCCCCGCAGATCGCGTCCCCCTCCCTCCACGTACCTCGCACCAGGAGCTGCTGGAAGGTCGCTCCCAAGCGCGCGTCCCACGCTGCAAAGATGGCACGTACCTCTGGTGATGGGGGGACTGTCCGCGCCAAGTACTGCGGACGTGTGCTGACACACGCGGAGAGCAGGCGCGCCGCTGTCTGTGGCTGCCGCAGCCTCGGGAGCCACGGCAGCACCCCGGCCATCCTCTCCAGTCGGTCCCGCAGGCTGGTCGTCACAAAGGTCTCGGTGCCAACCGGGACGCCCGTCACGGTGAGCCCCCGGCGTGCGACCTCGATGCCCAGATCGGTGAAAGCCTGCACGTCGCGAGGCAGGATCACCGACGTGTGATGGACAAGGCACTTGTGCGGCTGGACAGCAAGGCCCAACCCGCCCAAGCGCCTCACGACCCCCGTGAAGTGGTGCAGCACCCTGTCCGGAGGGCCCACGAGGTAGGTGTCGTCGGCGTACGACCAGAGCTGGACGTCACCCCCTGCCAGGACGGGCTCCAGGGCAAGGCGCTGCGTGAGGGCGTAGAGAAACGGGCTCAGCGGGTCTCCCTGCCGAGTGCCGCGCTCCGAGTGCATCGTGGTGACTCCCCTGCCGGTCCGATAGAGCAGATCGGACGGCGTGCCGTAGAAAAGACGGATGAAAGGAATGAGGCACCTGAACTCAGGACTGGCATGCAGTGCCTGGAACAAGACGTCGCGAAAGAAAGAGTTAAAGGCGTTGGCCACGTCCAGCTGCAGAACCACCCAGCCTGGGTGGTCAGCTAGAGCGCGGACAACGCCTCTAACGGTGACCTCTGTGCCACACGTGACCCCGACTCCGAACTGCTGTGACGCGAGGAACACTCTCGCCATCTGGTCGCGGAGCTGGAGGCAGACTGCGCGGGAGAGGACGCGCACGAGCACCTCTCCAATGGCGATCGGCCGCACGTCCCCGTTCGGCTTCGCGAGAGCCACAAGGGTGGACGAGGCCAAAAGAGAACGCGCAGCTGAGGGGCAGCGTCCTCCGAGCCAGAGCTGGTACACAGACAGCAAGGAGGGTAGGGTCTGTGGGAATGCCAAGTAGGTGTCACGGAGGTGTTCTGCCACCCATCCGGTCGGTCCCCCCGACGAGCCCCGCGGTGCAGTGAAAATGGCCTGGCGCAAGTGGGTGGCAGAGAGCACGAGGCCGTCCTCGTGGAAGGTGGAGAGCCACTCCGGTAGAGGGCGCTCCGCGCTAGGGTGCTTAGCCCGTAGGCTATGCACCGTGCGATCCGTGTCTGGAGCCGCCTCGGCCGACTCCAGTGCCGCGCACGCACGAGATGTCTCGTTGCACGCTGCCAAGCGCAGGCAACGCGCAATCCGACGCTCGTCTCCCGACGTGGTGGTGACGGGGGTGCGACGTGATGTGCGGGTGGGCAGGGGCGTGCGACGACGCAGCGCGTCGGAGAAGAGAGAGTCCCACTCACCTCGGAAGAAGCGCGCGACGCGAGCCGCGATGGAAGCTGTGTGGCCCCGCTCTGGTGGAGTAGCTGGCGCTAAGAACAGCGTCGGCACCGCCGTGAACAAGAAGTGGGGCCCGTCGGCATCCGGATACTGCTCCATACGGGCGGTGATCGCGCGGAGGACATCAGAGATGCCTCCGCGGACCCTCGGCGGAATGCGCCGGAGCGGGCGAGCATGCGTCCGGGACGGAGAGAAATACTCCCTCCAATCCACAGAGTCCAGCTGCGCCCACTGCGCGTCGGAAAAGACCGGGACAGATGAACCCGGGCGTGAGAGTGACCCGCCGACCGAGGCGGCCTCCTGGCGGGCCTGCACACGGCGTGCCTCATCGCTCGGGGTGCAGTGAGGTGTGTGGTGGCGGAGAGCTCTATCGTCCGCCATGAGGTTCAGACACGTGGGACATCTCACCTCATGGGCTGGCGTGGACTCGTCCGCGTGATCGGTGTGGGCGGTATCGTCAGAGCTCGCGGTGGAGGCGGCCGGCTCGACGACCGGGTCCGGTCGATAGTCGCCCGCCCTCGGGGAAGGAGGCTCACCTGCCACCTGGGGTCGGACGGGGGTCAGCGGCGGCGGCGATGTCGAAAGAGGGGGAGGGATCGGCGGGGGCCCCGAGGGCCTAGGTGCGGCCCCTGCATCCTGGGGGGAGGGGAGCGGGTGGTCGGGGGCCGCGTCGGAGTCATCGATCACCATGCGCTCCGGTGTGAGGGCGGTGGACGGGGGGGAGGGGGGGCATGGGAGATGTCTGGGGCAGAGTCCACGGTGCCCCCCCCCACCCGACCCGGACAAGCGGGCGTAGAGGGGGTGGCGGACGTGTCCCATATCCTGAGAAGGTCGGCAACTGCCGCCTCCGTCTCCCCATCTGCCCCCTGCGACTGTCCGCCTGTGGGTAGGGGGAGCAGGGCAGGCTGGTTGGTCGTGGTGGGCGAACCACCGTGGGCCCTGACCTGGGTCGGAGGTTGTGGACCGGAGGGGGACAAAGAGGCGGGTGGTAGGGACCGACGCTGGGGGGGGATATAGGCTTGCTTGCGAGAGGCTAACGACACCTCTTCCGCCTCCGGTTCGATTTCCATCGCGGATGGGGCATCGGCGGCGACCGTCTGGTGGGGGGCCAATGGCGGGATGGGTGGGTGACAGGGGAGTGGGGCCTGGGTGGGGTGAGGGAGGGAGACCGTCCGAAGCTCGCCATCCTGGTTATGGGAGGGCAGTGGGTGGCGGGCCGGGGGCAATGATGGGGTCGCCTGAGGGGTGGTGGATGGTAAGGGCTGCACGCCAGCAGAGGGTGGAGTCGTGTCCGGCTGCTCCGAGCGCCGGGCTGCCCCGGGTGTCCCCGTGCCCTTGCCCTTCTTCCGGCGACCTGTGTGGGGTTGGGCAAACTGTCCAATCAGCGGCTGCCGTGTGACCGCCCCCTGCTGTGGGTGAGGAGTGTGAGAATGGGGCAGCTGGGAGGGTGAGGGGGTGTGGCCGCCGATGGCCGCTTGCCGCGATGGGCTAGCCTGCGCATGGATGGCGGCTTGCCCTGGGGCGGGTGCAGATGGGGACAGGGGGGGAAAGTGAGGGGTGGTGGCGGTGGTGGAATCGGCAGCACCATCCGCAATGCCCCGCCCTCCCCCGACACCTTCCCCGTCCCCTTCCCCCTGGGCGTCTGCCGACATCGCTGCCTGTGCGGAGCGACGGAAAGGGGGGATGTAGGGTTGGGAGGAGACATCATGCAGGTCCCCTACTCCTATTTTGTCGACGTCCATCGCGGATGGGTGGCTCGCTGCGACCACCTGAATACTGACGGGCAAGGAGTGTGTGGGGCAGGAAGGGGGAGGGTGAGATGGGGGGGCCGCCCTCGCCTCGCCCCTGTTCGCGCTGATGGGCCGGGCGGGAGTGGGGGGGCAGGGCAAGAGAGGTGGTTGGGCAGCAGGGTAAGGGTTAAGCGTGGGTGGGACGCTCAATGGAGGGGGTGGGAGGGGTGGGTGCCCCAGCGCTGGGCTGGAGGGTGTGTGAGACGGAAGTGACAAGGGAGGGCCCAAGAGGGAGGCACTCCCGTGGTCGCCTGCCGTGCGGGACATGAAACCTGGGGGCTGCACGAAAGGGCGCGAGGGGAGTTCCGGCTGGATTGCCGGGGAAAGGGGGCGGGTGGGATGTGTGGGAGAGGGAGGGGGGGGGCGGGGCGCGGGCAAGGTAGGGCCCACGGCCGGGAAGGGAAGCAGAGTGGGCGCCGAGGGACCCCCGCCTTGCCCGAAGCTTAGCTGTGGGGCTTGGGAAGTGGGATCAGCCGGGGTGAGACGGCGAGGGCCGAGAGGGAGTTGATTCGGGTTGCTCCCCCTTGCGAGGGGTGCACCCCGCTCACCGTTCCTATGGGAAGCGCCCGTGTGGCCGACAGGGTGTGTGCCCTGTGCCGGGCGGGAGGCACCTGGGGTGGAACAGGGTTGGGGGCGGACTGACGAGGGGGGTTGGGCAAGAGCCGCCCCTCCTTGTGCTACCCAGGTCGAGGCGTCCGGCGCGACAGCCTGCGTGGGTGGGGAGGGGGAGGGAGCAACCTGCCCGGCTGTTGTTTGTGCTCCTGGCGCCGGCGCGAGGGCTGCTGAGGGAGAGCAAGGAAGGGTTGAGTCGACCAAGATATATCCGGCGAGCGGGCCATCATTGTCCGAGCCATCCTCGGCGGCCGCCTCCTGGGGCACACTCGGCTGTAAGGGGAGGGTGTGGGGGGAGAGGGAGTGGTGAGACTGCGTCCCGATCATTGGCTCGGGTGTACAGGGGTCTGCCAAAAACGCCAAGGCTCGGGCCGCCCCGCCCATAGCCCTGGGTTGTAGCCCACAGCGAGGGCCCTGCGCCGCTGGTGAAGCCCCTGCATGCATGGGATTGGGAGTAGGGGGGGGAAGGGGGGGACGGGGGACCGCAAGGGAAGTAGGGGGAGGAGGGGAAGGAGGGGGGGGGAGGGGGGAGATGGGGGGGGTGGGAGGGGATGAGACAGTCTCTTCCGGCCCAGGTGCTGCCCTGTGTCCGGCCTCCTTAGCCCTCATCCCAGTTACTGCCTTACCTTCAGCCGCTCCGGCTGCTGTCTCTCTCACCACACCTCCTGCTGGAGCTGCCGCAGCTGCTGCCCTTCCTGCAGCGGCTCCCGCTGCCCTCTCCCGTGCAGCACCTCTTGCCGCTGCCCGTGTTGCTGCTGTTGCTGCCTTCCCTGCTGCCACCCCAGCTGCCCTTCCTGTTGCTGCCATCCCCGCAGCTACCCCGGCGGTTGTCTCCCCCGCGGCACGCCCTGCTGATCCTGCTGCTACCTTCCCTGCGGCCGCTTCCGCTGCTGCCCCCGGTGCGGCACCCCCTGCTGCCCCTTTTTCCGCTGACACCACCACAGCCGCCGCCGCCGCCGCTGCCGCCGCCGCCGCTGTCGCGGCCCTGCTAGCCGCTGCCTGCGAAACAGCGGGACCCATTGCTACTTTCCCTGCCGCTGCCCCCGCTGCTGCCTTCCCTGCCGCAGCACTTGCTGCTGGTTTCCCTGTGGCGCTCCCCCTGGCTGCCTTCCCCGCAGCGGCCCCTATCTCTGCCTCCTCCGCTGCTGCCGCAGCAGCTGCCAGACGTGCATACATCCCCCCCCCGGTAATAGCCCGTGCGAGAGCGCGTACAACAGCTCCCTTTCCTGCCTCCTCCGCCGTAGGTAGCCTTGCCGCTGCTGCCGCCTCCGGCGGCTCTCCTATCCCTGCCGCACCAGCAGCCGCCCCTGCACGTGCTCCTGTTGCTGCTGCTGCCGCTGCTGCTGCTGCTGCCTCTGCCGTTGTCCCTGCCCCCGCCGCCTCAGCAGGGACTCCTTCATCTGCTTCCCCGGCAGCCACCCTGGCCGCTGCAGCGGCCCCAGCCATCACCGCCTCTGCGGCATCCCGAGCCCCGGTCGCTGCGCCCCTCGCAAGATCGGCTGCTGCTGCCTCCTCTGCGGTGGCAGCTCCAGCTCCTGCCGCTGTCGCCGCCTGCACCGCCGCTGCTCCCGCCTCTGCCGCCTCTGCAGGGGCGCCTGCTGTTGCTGCTGCCCCCAAATCCGCCCCGGCTGCCCCTGTGGCCCCTGCTGCTGCTGCCTCTGCCGCATCCCGAGCCCGAGCCCGAGCCGATGCACCTCTTGCATGATCCATTGCTGCCGCCTCCTCCGCGGAGGCCCCAGCTGTTGCCGCCGCTGCCCATGCTCCCGCTGCCACCGTCTCTGCTGCAGCCCCAGCTGTCGCTGCCGCCGCCGCGACCACCCCCCCGGCTGCTGCCAACTCTGGAGCGGCCCCACCCCCAGCGGCTGCTACCTCTGCAGGGTCTCCTTCTGCCGCCCCCGCTGCAGCTGGCCCAGGTGCCTGCGCCTCTGCCGGTGCTGGAGCTGCTGCCACTTCTGCAAAGACCTTTGCGGCAGCCCCCACAGCCGCCCCTCCCACCACGGCTGTCGTTCCTCCCCCTGCGGCTACAGCCCGTGCTGCTGCCGCCTCTGCAGCCGCCTTTTCCACCTTCCCCCATGCAGCCTCTCCTGCCTCCGCCTCTGCCATAGCAGCTTCCGCTGGAGTACCCCCTGCGGTGACTCCTGCGGCAGCCTCCTTTGCCGCGGTCCTGATGGCTGTCACTGTTGCAACCGCCCCTGCAGTTGCCACACCTGCAGCCTCTCCTGCTGCTGCCTCCGGCGCCGCACCACATGCGGCCATGGACCGCGCATAGGCCCGGGCCATACCCTCTAATGCTGCCCTCTCTACCCCAGCCCGTGCCACCTCCCCCTCCGCCTCCGCTCCAGCTGCCGCTCCTGCCAACCCCACGGCTCCCGTCGCTGGCTCCCCTGCTGAGGACACGGCCTCGAGCCTGGCTGCACTAGGAGCGGGTGCTATGAGCTCAACTACGTCCTCATCCGAGTCCTCGGCGCCCTCCAAAACCCAATCCGAGTCCTTCGCGTTGTCCCCATCCGAGTCCCCGGCCTCGTCCCACTCTGAGTCCTCACCAGCCCCCACCGTCTCTGCCGATCTTTCCCCCTCCTCCCTCTCCGTCACCCCCACTTTCACCTCCCACACCCCCATCTCTGCTGCCACCTCTGCAGGACCCCCCGGTGCTGCCGCATCCCCCTCCCCTGCCACAGGCCCTGCTGCGGCCTCACCTGTGCCAGCCTTGCTACCTGTGGCCATGGGTGTGGAGGAGGTGGGGGCTCTCCTGGCGCTAGTGTTGGCCTGTGGGAGTGGCGGAGGGGGGGCAGATGACTTTTTGCGACCATGGGAGCGCGAGCGTGTGGCTTCGCGCTCCTGCTTCTCCAGGCGTGAGGCGGGGCCTTCCTCTGCCTTCTCCCGTGGTCGTTTCCGGCCTCGCGAGGCAGAGCGCACCTGGTCCCCGCCCTTGCCGACGGTCACCTCGACGCGGGCTGGCGGGGCGATACTGTTGGGTGGGGGGATGGAAGACGATGAGTAGGGGGAAGGGCGGCCACCGGCTCTGCCTGACCGTCGGAGAGCACCGGGGCCGCCCTCCCCCGCATTGCAGGGGGTGTGGGTCATGGCCACGGGGACTGCATGCTAGAAGAGGGGGAGGAGGGGGAAGCAGGGGGGGAAGGGAGGGAGGAAAACAGCGGGGAAAGAAGGTGAGATCAGAGAAACTGCGTGGAGTGGGGAGGGGGACAGGGGGGGGAGGATAGGGAGAGAACAGGGGGCGGCGATTAGAGGAGGGTTATGGCGCTCGACTGTGGGGAGACGTACGGGGTGAAGGTGGGGAAACGGGGATAGGACAAGATGGAAAGAAACAGCCTGCAGGGACAGGGGGAACTGGAAGGAGAGGAGGGGGAGGAGTGAAGAGCACCGGGTGTGGGGCGGGACGATTTCGGGGTGGAAACTGACGTGTGAGTTGGTGGGAGCAAGGAGGGGAAAATCAGAGGGCGAGGGGCGGAAAAGCAGCGAGGAAGAGGGAGAAAACGCACTGGGCAAAAGAGGCGAAGAGCAGTGGGCAAGGGGGGGAAATCAGTGGGCCAGGGGGAAGGTCAGTGGGCAGCGGGGGAAGAGTAGAGGGCAGGGCGGGGAACAGCAGTGGGCAATGGGGAGGAAGGGGGTGGGCAAGGAGGGGAAAGGCAGTGGGCAATGGGGGGAGGAATGGTGGGCAAGGGGGGAAAAGCAGTGGGCAATGGGAGAAAAGTAGTGGGCTAGGGGGAAGGGAGGGGGAAACAAGGGGAAAAGAGTGGAAAGCAGGATAGAATACGAGGGGGAAACAACGGGGGACAGTAGGGGAGAGCGGGCGGGGATAAGAGTGGGGGAACCAAGGGGGGAAAGGGGGAGGAACACGAAGAAAATGGGGGAAAGCGGGGGGAAGTGGGTAATCAAAGGAGAGGGTCGGGAGTGGAGAGAGGACCGGAGGATGGGTGGGACCCAAATGGGCAGCAAAACGGGCAGGGGGGGAAGAACAGCGGGGAGGCGGGGGGAAAGCAGCGGGAACACAGGGGGGGGGGGGGGAAGCAACGGGCCAGGGGGGAATGGCGGCGGGCAAGGGAGGAGAAGCAGTGGACCAGGGGGAAAAGCAGCTGGCAATGGGCGAATAACAGCGGGCAAGGGGGGGAAAGCAGGGGCAAGAGAGGGTAAAGCAGCGGGCAAGGGGGGGAGAATCAGCGGGTAAGGGGGGAAGACGAGCGGCAAAGGGGGAAAAGCAACAGGCAAGGGGGGGAAAGGCAACGGGCAAGGGTGGGAAAGGCAACGGGCGAGCAACAGGCCAGTGGGAAAAGCAACAGGCCAGGGGGAAAAGCAGCGGGTAATGGGGGGAAAATAACAGCGGGCAATGGGGGGAAAGGCAGGGCCAAGGGAGGGGAAGGCAACGGGCAAAGAGGGGAAAACAGCGGGCAAGGGGTGGGACAAGCGGCGGACAAGGGGGGGGATAACCGCGGGCGAGGGGGGGAAAAGCAGGGGCAAGGAAGGGAAAAGCAACTGGCGAGAGTAGAAGAGCAAGCGGGCAAGGGGGGAAAAGCGGCGGCAAGGGGGAGAAGCAGCGGGCACGTGAGGAAAGGCAGCAGGGAAAAGTAGCAGCGGGCAGTGAGGGGGAACGATACTGGACCAAAGTGGGGGGCAAGGAGGGGAATGGCAGTGGGCACGGGGGAAAAGCAATGGGCACGGGGGGGAAACGCGTGGGCCGGGAGAGAAAATGTGTGGGTAAGTGCGTAGAGTTAGTGGGCAAGTAGGGACAAGCAGTGGGCAAGGAGGGGGAACAGCAGTGGACAAGGAGGGGGAAGAGTAGTGGGCACGGGGGGAGGGATGGGGAAAACGGAGGGCAGACTCCTGGGAAACAGTGGGGGGAGATATCACGGAACCGGGAAGAGGGGTGGGGGAGACAGGGAGGTACTAGGGGGAAACTGGAGGGGGTATATGGGGAAGCCTGGTGGGGAAAAAGGGGGGGAGACCTGGGGGGGAGTGGGGGAAGCCGGGGAGCAGCGGGCAGGGAAGCGGGGGAGCAGCGGGCAGGGAAAGTGGGGGGAGCAGTGGGCAGGGAAAGTGGGGGGGAGCAGCAGGCAGGGAAACGGGAGAGCAGCGGGCAGGGAAGCGGGAGAGCGGCGGGCAGGTGAAGTGGGGAAAAGCAGAGGCTAGGGGGGGGGGGGGGGATGATAGCAGCGAGGCAAAGAAGGGGGGAAAAGCAGCGGGCGAAGGGGGGAAAAGCAGCAGAACAGGGGGGAAAAGCAGCGGACAAGGGGGGAATAACAGCGGGCAAGGGGGCTAAGGCAGGGGCAAGGGACTGAAAAACAACGGGCAAGGGGGAGAAAATCGGCGGGCAAGGGGGGAAGAGCAGTGGGCAGAGGGGGGAGAAACAGCGTCCGTGGGGGGGAATAGCAGCGGGTAAGGGGGGGAAGAGCAAGGGCGAGTGAGGGAAAGGCAACGGGCGAGGGGGAAAAAGGCAACGGGCAAGGGGGGAAAAGCAGCGGGCAAGTGGGGGAAAACAGCTCAGCACCGTGCATTGGGGGGACAATGAGCGGCACAGGGTGAAAGACAGCGGGCAGGCGAGGGAAAAACTGCGGGCTAGGAGGGACAGAGCAGTGGCTTGGGGGGGAAGCCATGGACAAGGGGGGAAAAGCAAGAGGAGAAGGGGGGGAAAATCGGCGACAAGGGAGGGAGAGTAGAGGCAAGGGGGGGGGAAGCGGCGGCAAAAAAGGGGAGAAACAGCGAGCTAAGGAGGGGGAACAGCAGCGGGCGAGAGGGAGGAGCAGCGGGCGAGGGGGAGAAAGCAGCGGCAAGGGGGGAAGCGGCGGGCAGAGGGGGGAGAAGTACCGGGCGGGGGTGGAAAAGCAGCGGGGAACGTGGGGAAAGGCAGCGGCAGGGGGGGAAACGGCGAGCTGTGGAGCCGGGGAAGCGGCGAGCTGGGGGGAAGGGGGCAGCGGCGAGTTGGACAGAGGGCGAGGTGGCGAGCTAGTTTCGCGCGGGAACGAAATACGGGGACGGCGCGCCAGGGAATACACGAAGGGTGCGCTAAGTGAGAGGGGGAGAGAGGACGCTGTAACGAACGGAAAAACGAACTGGTGCTGGCGACCGATTTTAGGGTTAGGTGGCGTGGCGCGGATCTAAGCTTAGAAACTAGAAAGCTGAGAAAAGCGCGACGCGGTGAACTAGAAGAGAGAGAGGGAGGAGGGTGGGAGGCGAGCGAGAGTGACGGGGGACTTAGCCGGGGTGGGATGGCGAGATCGACGGGGGTGGCGAAAAATCGCTCGACACCGCAGGGTCGTGTTCGCCGCCGCTTCCGTCTCACCCGCTCGTAGCAGTTCTGGGCACGGTGACCTCCCGGGAAGTCCTCGTGTCGTACCCATTTCTGCCTGCTCCCGTGCCCGGGAGGGGGCAGTGGGAAAAAGAAAGGAGGATTCTTCTCCGAACCGCCCGGGCGGCGATGTCGCGCCGCTCTGCGGAGGGCCGCTCTCTGCATAGGACGCCACGGAGCGCGACTACGTATGGGCGTCCATTCCGCCCCCAGCGAGATGGCGAGCCTCTTGCGGGCACGTTCGCGGATGTGACTATAAAGAGGGGAGCTGCCTCGGGGGAGGAGTGGGAAGCGGACCGCGGACAGGATTGCACGTGGTACGATCATACCTTGGCTACTACGCCGGATCCCATCAGAACTCCGCAGCGTAGCGCCTGTGGGCGAGAGCAGTACTGGGCAGGGTGACCTCCCGGGAAGTCCTCGTGTCGTACCCATTTCTGCCTGCTCCCGTGCCCGGGAGGGGGCAGTGGGAAAAAGAAAGGAGGATTCTTCTCCGAACCGCCCGGGCGGCGATGTCGCGCCGCTCTGCGGAGGGCCGCTCTCTGCATAGGACGCCACGGAGCGCGACTACGTATGGGCGTCCATTCCGCCCCCAGCGAGATGGCGAGCCTCTTGCGGGCACGTTCGCGGATGTGACTATAAAGAGGGGAGCTGCCTCGGGGGAGGAGTGGGAAGCGGACCGCGGACAGGATTGCACGTGGTACGATCATACCTTGGCTACTACGCCGGATCCCATCAGAACTCCGCAGCGTAGCGCCTGTGGGCGAGAGCAGTACTGGGCAGGGTGACCTCCCGGGAAGTCCTCGTGTCGTACCCATTTCTGCCTGCTCCCGTGCCCGGGAGGGGGCAGTGGGAAAAAGAAAGGAGGATTCTTCTCCGAACCGCCCGGGCGGCGATGTCGCGCCGCTCTGCGGAGGGCCGCTCTCTGCATAGGACGCCACGGAGCGCGACTACGTATGGGCGTCCATTCCGCCCCCAGCGAGATGGCGAGCCTCTTGCGGGCACGTTCGCGGATGTGACTATAAAGAGGGGAGCTGCCTCGGGGGAGGAGTGGGAAGCGGACCGCGGACAGGATTGCACGTGGTACGATCATACCTTGGCTACTACGCCGGATCCCATCAGAACTCCGCAGCGTAGCGCCAGTGGGCGAGAGCAGTACTGGGCAGGGTGACCTCCCGGGAAGTCCTCGTGTCGTACCCATTTCTGCCTGCTCCCGTGCCCGGGAGGGGGCAGTGGGAAAAAGAAAGGAGGATTCTTCTCCGAACCGCCCGGGCGGCGATGTCGCGCCGCTCTGCGGAGGGCCGCTCTCTGCATAGGACGCCACGGAGCGCGACTACGTATGGGCGTCCATTCCGCCCCCAGCGAGATGGCGAGCCTCTTGCGGGCACGTTCGCGGATGTGACTATAAAGAGGGGAGCTGCCTCGGGGGAGGAGTGGGAAGCGGACCGCGGACAGGATTGCACGTGGTACGATCATACCTTGGCTACTACGCCGGATCCCATCAGAACTCCGCAGCGTAGCGCCTGTGGGCGAGAGCAGTACTGGGCAGGGTGACCTCCCGGGAAGTCCTCGTGTCGTACCCATTTCTGCCTGCTCCCGTGCCCGGGAGGGGGCAGTGGGAAAAAGAAAGGAGGATTCTTCTCCGAACCGCCCGGGCGGCGATGTCGCGCCGCTCTGCGGAGGGCCGCTCTCTGCATAGGACGCCACGGAGCGCGACTACGTATGGGCGTCCATTCCGCCCCCAGCGAGATGGCGAGCCTCTTGCGGGCACGTTCGCGGATGTGACTATAAAGAGGGGAGCTGCCTCGGGGGAGGAGTGGGAAGCGGACCGCGGACAGGATTGCACGTGGTACGATCATACCTTGGCTACTACGCCGGATCCCATCAGAACTCCGCAGCGTAGCGCCAGTGGGCGAGAGCAGTACTGGGCAGGGTGACCTCCCGGGAAGTCCTCGTGTCGTACCCATTTCTGCCTGCTCCCGTGCCCGGGAGGGGGCAGTGGGAAAAAGAAAGGAGGATTCTTCTCCGAACCGCCCGGGCGGCGATGTCGCGCCGCTCTGCGGAGGGCCGCTCTCTGCATAGGACGCCACGGAGCGCGACTACGTATGGGCGTCCATTCCGCCCCCAGCGAGATGGCGAGCCTCTTGCGGGCACGACGCGGATGTGACTATAAAGAGGGGAGCTGCCTCGGGGGAGGAGTGGGAAGCGGACCGCGGACAGGATTGCACGTGGTACGATCATACCTTGGCTACTACGCCGGATCCCATCAGAACTCCGCAGCGTAGCGCCAGTGGGCGAGAGCAGTACTGGGCAGGGTGACCTCCCGGGAAGTCCTCGTGTCGTACCCATTTCTGCCTGCTCCCGTGCCCGGGAGGGGGCAGTGGGAAAAAGAAAGGAGGATTCTTCTCCGAACCGCCCGGGCGGCGATGTCGCGCCGCTCTGCGGAGGGCCGCTCTCTGCATAGGACGCCACGGAGCGCGACTACGTATGGGCGTCCATTCCGCCCCCAGCGAGATGGCGAGCCTCTTGCGGGCACGACCGCGGATGTGACTATAAAGAGGGGAGCTGCCTCGGGGGAGGAGTGGGAAGCGGACCGCGGACAGGATTGCACGTGGTACGATCATACCTTGGCTACTACGCCGGATCCCATCAGAACTCCGCAGCGTAGCGCCTGTGGGCGAGAGCAGTACTGGGCAGGGTGACCTCCCGGGAAGTCCTCGTGTCGTACCCATTTCTGCCTGCTCCCGTGCCCGGGAGGGGGCAGTGGGAAAAAGAAAGGAGGATTCTTCTCCGAACCGCCCGGGCGGCGATGTCGCGCCGCTCTGCGGAGGGCCGCTCTCTGCATAGGACGCCACGGAGCGCGACTACGTATGGGCGTCCATTCCGCCCCCAGCGAGATGGCGAGCCTCTTGCGGGCACGTTCGCGGATGTGACTATAAAGAGGGGAGCTGCCTCGGGGGAGGAGTGGGAAGCGGACCGCGGACAGGATTGCACGTGGTACGATCATACCTTGGCTACTACGCCGGATCCCATCAGAACTCCGCAGCGTAGCGCCTGTGGGCGAGAGCAGTACTGGGCAGGGTGACCTCCCGGGAAGTCCTCGTGTCGTACCCATTTCTGCCTGCTCCCGTGCCCGGGAGGGGGCAGTGGGAAAAAGAAAGGAGGATTCTTCTCCGAACCGCCCGGGCGGCGATGTCGCGCCGCTCTGCGGAGGGCCGCTCTCTGCATAGGACGCCACGGAGCGCGACTACGTATGGGCGTCCATTCCGCCCCCAGCGAGATGGCGAGCCTCTTGCGGGCACGTTCGCGGATGTGACTATAAAGAGGGGAGCTGCCTCGGGGGAGGAGTGGGAAGCGGACCGCGGACAGGATTGCACGTGGTACGATCATACCTTGGCTACTACGCCGGATCCCATCAGAACTCCGCAGCGTAGCGCCTGTGGGCGAGAGCAGTACTGGGCAGGGTGACCTCCCGGGAAGTCCTCGTGTCGTACCCATTTCTGCCTGCTCCCGTGCCCGGGAGGGGGCAGTGGGAAAAAGAAAGGAGGATTCTTCTCCGAACCGCCCGGGCGGCGATGTCGCGCCGCTCTGCGGAGGGCCGCTCTCTGCATAGGACGCCACGGAGCGCGACTACGTATGGGCGTCCATTCCGCCCCCAGCGAGATGGCGAGCCTCTTGCGGGCACGTTCGCGGATGTGACTATAAAGAGGGGAGCTGCCTCGGGGGAGGAGTGGGAAGCGGACCGCGGACAGGATTGCACGTGGTACGATCATACCTTGGCTACTACGCCGGATCCCATCAGAACTCCGCAGCGTAGCGCCTGTGGGCGAGAGCAGTACTGGGCAGGGTGACCTCCCGGGAAGTCCTCGTGTCGTACCCATTTCTGCCTGCTCCCGTGCCCGGGAGGGGGCAGTGGGAAAAAGAAAGGAGGATTCTTCTCCGAACCGCCCGGGCGGCGATGTCGCGCCGCTCTGCGGAGGGCCGCTCTCTGCATAGGACGCCACGGAGCGCGACTACGTATGGGCGTCCATTCCGCCCCCAGCGAGATGGCGAGCCTCTTGCGGGCACGTTCGCGGATGTGACTATAAAGAGGGGAGCTGCCTCGGGGGAGGAGTGGGAAGCGGACCGCGGACAGGATTGCACGTGGTACGATCATACCTTGGCTACTACGCCGGATCCCATCAGAACTCCGCAGCGTAGCGCCTGTGGGCGAGAGCAGTACTGGGCAGGGTGACCTCCCGGGAAGTCCTCGTGTCGTACCCATTTCTGCCTGCTCCCGTGCCCGGGAGGGGGCAGTGGGAAAAAGAAAGGAGGATTCTTCTCCGAACCGCCCGGGCGGCGATGTCGCGCCGCTCTGCGGAGGGCCGCTCTCTGCATAGGACGCCACGGAGCGCGACTACGTATGGGCGTCCATTCCGCCCCCAGCGAGATGGCGAGCCTCTTGCGGGCACGTTCGCGGATGTGACTATAAAGAGGGGAGCTGCCTCGGGGGAGGAGTGGGAAGCGGACCGCGGACAGGATTGCACGTGGTACGATCATACCTTGGCTACTACGCCGGATCCCATCAGAACTCCGCAGCGTAGCGCCAGTGGGCGAGAGCAGTACTGGGCAGGGTGACCTCCCGGGAAGTCCTCGTGTCGTACCCATTTCTGCCTGCTCCCGTGCCCGGGAGGGGGCAGTGGGAAAAAGAAAGGAGGATTCTTCTCCGAACCGCCCGGGCGGCGATGTCGCGCCGCTCTGCGGAGGGCCGCTCTCTGCATAGGACGCCACGGAGCGCGACTACGTATGGGCGTCCATTCCGCCCCCAGCGAGATGGCGAGCCTCTTGCGGGCACGACCGCGGATGTGACTATAAAGAGGGGAGCTGCATCGGGGGAGGAGTGGGAAGCGGACCGCGGACAGGATGCACGTGGTACGATCATACCTTGGCTACTACGCCGGATCCCATCAGAACTCCGCAGCGTAGCGCCAGTGGGCGAGAGCAGTACTGGGCAGGGTGACCTCCCGGGAAGTCCTCGTGTCGTACCCATTTCTGCCTGCTCCCGTGCCCGGGAGGGGGCAGTGGGAAAAAGAAAGGAGGATTCTTCTCCGAACCGCCCGGGCGGCGATGTCGCGCCGCTCTGCGGAGGGCCGCTCTCTGCATAGGACGCCACGGAGCGCGACTACGTATGGGCGTCCATTCCGCCCCCAGCGAGATGGCGAGCCTCTTGCGGGCACGTTCGCGGATGTGACTATAAAGAGGGGAGCTGCCTCGGGGGAGGAGTGGGAAGCGGACCGCGGACAGGATTGCACGTGGTACGATCATACCTTGGCTACTACGCCGGATCCCATCAGAACTCCGCAGCGTAGCGCCAGTGGGCGAGAGCAGTACTGGGCAGGGTGACCTCCCGGGAAGTCCTCGTGTCGTACCCATTTCTGCCTGCTCCCGTGCCCGGGAGGGGGCAGTGGGAAAAAGAAAGGAGGATTCTTCTCCGAACCGCCCGGGCGGCGATGTCGCGCCGCTCTGCGGAGGGCCGCTCTCTGCATAGGACGCCACGGAGCGCGACTACGTATGGGCGTCCATTCCGCCCCCAGCGAGATGGCGAGCCTCTTGCGGGCACGTTCGCGGATGTGACTATAAAGAGGGGAGCTGCCTCGGGGGAGGAGTGGGAAGCGGACCGCGGACAGGATTGCACGTGGTACGATCATACCTTGGCTACTACGCCGGATCCCATCAGAACTCCGCAGCGTAGCGCCAGTGGGCGAGAGCAGTACTGGGCAGGGTGACCTCCCGGGAAGTCCTCGTGTCGTACCCATTTCTGCCTGCTCCCGTGCCCGGGAGGGGCAGTGGGAAAAAGAAAGGAGGATTCTTCTCCGAACCGCCCGGGCGGCGATGTCGCGCCGCTCTGCGGAGGGCCGCTCTCTGCATAGGACGCCACGGAGCGCGACTACGTATGGGCGTCCATTCCGCCCCCAGCGAGATGGCGAGCCTCTTGCGGGCACGACCGCGGATGTGACTATAAAGAGGGGAGCTGCATCGGGGGAGGAGTGGGAAGCGGACCGCGGACAGGACTGCACGTGGTACGATCATACCTTGGCTACTACGCCGGATCCCATCAGAACTCCGCAGCGTAGCGCCAGTGGGCAAGAGCAGTACTGGGCAGGGTGACCTCCCGGGAAGTCCTCGTGTCGTACCCATTTCTGCCTGCTCCCGTGCCCAGGAGGGGGCAGTGGGAAAAAGAAAGGAGGATTCTTCTCCGAACCGCCCGGGCGGCGATGTCGCGCCGCTCTGCGGAGGGCCGCTCTCTGCATAGGACGCCACGGAGCGCGACTACGTATGGGCGTCCATTCCGCCCCCAGCGAGATGGCGAGCCTCTTGCGGGCACGTTCGCGGATGTGACTATAAAGAGGGGAGCTGCCTCGGGGGAGGAGTGGGAAGTGGACCGCGGACAGGATTGCACGTGGTACGATCATACCTTGGCTACTACGCCGGATCCCATCAGAACTCCGCAGCGTAGCGCCAGTGGGCGAGAGCAGTACTGGGCAGGGTGACCTCCCGGGAAGTCCTCGTGTCGTACCCATTTCTGCCTGCTCCCGTGCCCGGGAGGGGGCAGTGGGAAAAAGAAAGGAGGATTCTTCTCCGAACCGCCCGGGCGGCGATGTCGCGCCGCTCTGCGGAGGGCCGCTCTCTGCATAGGACGCCACGGAGCGCGACTACGTATGGGCGTCCATTCCGCCCCCAGCGAGATGGCGAGCCTCTTGCGGGCACGACCGCGGATGTGACTATAAAGAGGGGAGCTGCATCGGGGGAGGAGTGGGAAGCGGACCGCGGACAGGACTGCACGTGGTACGATCATACCTTGGCTACTACGCCGGATCCCATCAGAACTCCGCAGCGTAGCGCCAGTGGGCGAGAGCAGTACTGGGCAGGGTGACCTCCCGGGAAGTCCTCGTGTCGTACCCATTTCTGCCTGCTCCCGTGCCCGGGAGGGGGCAGTGGGAAAAAGAAAGGAGGATTCTTCTCCGAACCGCCCGGGCGGCGATGTCGCGCCGCTCTGCGGAGGGCCGCTCTCTGCATAGGACGCCACGGAGCGCGACTACGTATGGGCGTCCATTCCGCCCCCAGCGAGATGGCGAGCCTCTTGCGGGCACGACCGCGGATGTGACTATAAAGAGGGGAGCTGCATCGGGGGAGGAGTGGGAAGCGGACCGCGGACAGGACTGCACGTGGTACGATCATACCTTGGCTACTACGCCGGATCCCATCAGAACTCCGCAGCGTAGCGCCAGTGGGCGAGAGCAGTACTGGGCAGGGTGACCTCCCGGGAAGTCCTCGTGTCGTACCCATTTCTGCCTGCTCCCGTGCCCGGGAGGGGGCAGTGGGAAAAAGAAAGGAGGATTCTTCTCCGAACCGCCCGGGCGGCGATGTCGCGCCGCTCTGCGGAGGGCCGCTCTCTGCATAGGACGCCACGGAGCGCGACTACGTATGGGCGTCCATTCCGCCCCCAGCGAGATGGCGAGCCTCTTGCGGGCACGTTCGCGGATGTGACTATAAAGAGGGGAGCTGCCTCGGGGGAGGAGTGGGAAGCGGACCGCGGACAGGATTGCACGTGGTACGATCATACCTTGGCTACTACGCCGGATCCCATCAGAACTCCGCAGCTAAGCGCCAGTGGGCGAGAGCAGTTATTTTATTAAAAATGAAGAGGGTTACAAGTCATATAGCAATTCTAAAGCCAAAGATGAGATTTTCGGCATGAGCGTTGCGCTATTATGACATAGTAGCGTTTAGAGGTATAGAAGAGAAAAAGAGAGAGAGAAGAGATAGAGAAGGAAAGAGAGAGAAGATAGTGGAAGGAAGAAGGTAGCAGAAAGAGTGGGGGAGAAGAGAGCGAGAAAGAGGAGAGAAAGAGAAGAGGGGAAGAGGGGAGGGGGGGTGTGACTATATCAAAGGGACATCCTGGGACCTAACAAAACAACAGCCCACGCGCACAGCGCGGGCACAGCGTCTCAAGCACGGCCTATATATGTTTTTCTACACATATGCATCATACATGTACTGCATATCCGCTGCACTCTCGAAGCACCCTGTGATGTGATGCCAACTCCCCTGCCCAGCGCCCAAAGGTACAGGCGCTGGCATCCATCCATTGTCGGAGCCGCCCAGCTGCCGCAATGCATGCTGCATGATCACATTTGCCTGCGCGCGCTGCAGTGCCACGGAGAGACGCGTAGTGAGGCTCGTCTCAAATATCCGTGCCGACCCGTCATCCCCTGCCCCTGAATCTCTCCTCCGCCGTGCTGTCCGCGATGCACACAGCCCTAGGAACTGCCGCAGTGGCTCACTCAGGCACCCAAAAGTCTCCACTACGCAGGCGTAAAACTCTGGATCCGGCTGCAACCCCTGTAACACCGGCCTCCAGTGTCGCAGCTTGTCATGCACCCGCCTAGCTGCTGCGCCGCCAATCTGAGTGGGTGCCATCCGCCTGAACTGCGCATTCCCCTCCCGCTGTGGGTTGGCCACCGAGACGTCTACAATCACCATCAATGCATCTCGCGGCGCCCTGCAAGTGAGGTCGGGAATGCGGGCGGGTGCCCCTATGCGGCCTGTGCGAGCGGCTGGCGTCTGCTGCTGCTGCGCGGGCTGCTGCTCTGTCTGGTCCCCTGATGCCCCTCCTCTGGTCGTCGTGGTCCCCCTCCCAACTCCCCCTCTCACCCTCCCTCTCCTCCCTCCCGCTCTCCCCTCCCCCACTCCCCCTGCCACCCCCGCCCCTTCCGCCATCTCCTCTCTCCCTCCCGCCCCCCCTCCCCTCCCGCCCTCCGTCCCTCCTATACCCCCGCCTACTACCGACCCCTCTGGCCCACCCTCGCCTGTCCTCCCCTCCGCGTGCGCCTCTCCTACCGCCTCGCGCGCGAAACGCTCACGCCTCGGTGGTGCCCTGCCCAAGAGCCCGTCCCCTGTCCCCTGCTGCTGTCCTGCCTGGGCCCCCTGCTGCGGCCCTGCCTGAGCTCCCTGCGGCAGCTGTACCTGCCCCTCTCCCCACGCGCGCCGCTGCTGCCCCTCTCCGCCACCCTGCCGCTGCTGCTGCTGTTCCTCCTCCCGCCGGCTCTCCCCCGTGCCCTGCTGCTGCTGCTGCTGCTGCTGCTGCGGCTGCTGCTGCTGCTGCTGCTGCTGCTGCTGCTGCTGCTGCTGCTGCTGCGGCTGCTGCTGCTGCTGCTGCTGCTGCTGCTGCGGCTGCTGCTGCTGCTGCTGCTGCTGCTGCTGCTGCTGCTGCTGCTGCTGCTGATCCTCCCTGCCGAACCGCCGCTGCTGCCCCTCCTGCTCCTCCTCCGCCCCCTGCCTCTCTCCCTCCTCACCCGCCTGCCTCTCCCCCCCTCCTGATCCCGCCGCTGCTGCCGTCCTGTCTGTCCTGCCCGCTCCTGCCCCTGCCCCTCCCCCGCGTGCAAAACCTGCAGTCGAGCTCGCGCCGCCTCCAGGTGCGGAATGAGCGCCGTGTCCTCCACCTGGACAGCGAAGCCGGCCTCGTCTGCGAAGTCACGAAGCATGAACTTCACTGTGTCGTGGATGGTCGTGGCGACCGCGAAGCGCGCGCACCTCACCGCGTGATGCGGCACCGACATGTCGGCGATCTCCTCTCCGCACGAGCACTGACCTGCCAGGACTAACTGGGGAATGGGGAGACCGAGACGAAAGCATGAAGCCACCTGCCACTGCGCCTCCGGAATGCGCAGGGAGTCCGCGTAGGGCACCGCCGTAAGCCAAGCTCCCGCACCTGGACCCTGAAGGGATGTCAAACGGGCAAGATGCAGGGGATCAGTATGACGGGCACGTACCGACTCCAAAGCGTGCGCCTCGATGTGTCTGCTGGCCTCTCTGAAAAGGCCGTCCGGTGCTCCTGTCGCGCAAGAAGGCCAGGCCGGCATGAGGCGTAGGACGTCCGCCGGCAGGGCCTCCTGAGCCATCATGATGTGCGGATCGATCTGGGCGGGCTCACCTGATGCGAAGCTCTGACGGAAGCCCTCCCCCACCGACGGCAACGAGCAGAGAATCGGTGCGCACTGCGCCCACGAACAGAGATAACTCACCGGGGCGATGCGCTCCATGCGTCGGATGCCGAAGCCCCCGATGCGAATCGGGAGGAAAGCCTGCTCCAGGGCTGCCCCGCAGATCGCGTCCCCCTCCCTCCACGTACCTCGCACCAGGAGCTGCTGGAAGGTCGCTCCCAAGCGCGCGTCCCACGCTGCAAAGATGGCACGTACCTCTGGTGATGGGGGGACTGTCCGCGCCAAGTACTGCGGACGTGTGCTGACACACGCGGAGAGCAGGCGCGCCGCTGTCTGTGGCTGCCGCAGCCTCGGGAGCCACGGCAGCACCCCGGCCATCCTCTCCAGTCGGTCCCGCAGGCTGGTCGTCACAAAGGTCTCGGTGCCAACCGGGACGCCCGTCACGGTGAGCCCCCGGCGTGCGACCTCGATGCCCAGATCGGTGAAAGCCTGCACGTCGCGAGGCAGGATCACCGACGTGTGATGGACAAGGCACTTGTGCGGCTGGACAGCAAGGCCCAACCCGCCCAAGCGCCTCACGACCTCCGTGAAGTGGTGCAGCACCCTGTCCGGAGGGCCCACGAGGTAGGTGTCGTCGGCGTACGACCAGAGCTGGACGTCACCCCCTGCCAGGACGGGCTCCAGGGCAAGGCGCTGCGTGAGGGCGTAGAGAAACGGGCTCAGCGGGTCTCCCTGCCGAGTGCCGCGCTCCGAGTGCATCGTGGTGACTCCCCTGCCGGTCCGATAGAGCAGATCGGACGGCGTGCCGTAGAAAAGACGGATGAAAGGAATGAGGCACCTGAACTCAGGACTGGCATGCAGTGCCTGGAACAAGACGTCGCGAAAGAAAGAGTTAAAGGCGTTGGCCACGTCCAGCTGCAGAACCACCCAGCCTGGGTGGTCAGCTAGAGCGCGGACAACGCCTCTAACGGTGACCTCTGTGCCACACGTGACCCCGACTCCGAACTGCTGTGACGCGAGGAACACTCTCGCCATCTGGTCGCGGAGCTGGAGGCAGACTGCGCGGGAGAGGACGCGCACGAGCACCTCTCCAATGGCGATCGGCCGCACGTCCCCGTTCGGCTTCGCGAGAGCCACAAGGGTGGACGAGGCCAAAAGAGAACGCGCAGCTGAGGGGCAGCGTCCTCCGAGCCAGAGCTGGTACACAGACAGCAAGGAGGGTAGGGTCTGTGGGAATGCCAAGTAGGTGTCACGGAGGTGTTCTGCCACCCATCCGGTCGGTCCCCCCGACGAGCCCCGCGGTGCAGTGAAAATGGCCTGGCGCAAGTGGGTGGCAGAGAGCACGAGGCCGTCCTCGTGGAAGGTGGAGAGCCACTCCGGTAGAGGGCGCTCCGCGCTAGGGTGCTTAGCCCGTAGGCTATGCACCGTGCGATCCGTGTCTGGAGCCGCCTCGGCCGACTCCAGTGCCGCGCACGCACGAGATGTCTCGTTGCACGCTGCCAAGCGCAGGCAACGCGCAATCCGACGCTCGTCTCCCGACGTGGTGGTGACGGGGGTGCGACGTGATGTGCGGGTGGGCAGGGGCGTGCGACGACGCAGCGCGTCGGAGAAGAGAGAGTCCCACTCACCTCGGAAGAAGCGCGCGACGCGAGCCGCGATGGAAGCTGTGTGGCCCCGCTCTGGTGGAGTAGCTGGCGCTAAGAACAGCGTCGGCACTGCCGTGAACAAGAAGTGGGGCCCGTCGGCATCCGGATACTGCTCCATACGGGCGGTGATCGCGCGGAGGACATCAGAGATGCCTCCGCGGACCCTCGGCGGAATGCGCCGGAGCGGGCGAGCATGCGTCCGGGACGGAGAGAAATACTCCCTCCAATCCACAGAGTCCAGCTGCGCCCACTGCGCGTCGGAAAAGACCGGGACAGATGAACCCGGGCGTGAGAGTGACCCGCCGACCGAGGCGGCCTCCTGGCGGGCCTGCACACGGCGTGCCTCATCGCTCGGGGTGCAGTGAGGTGTGTGGTGGCGGAGAGCTCTATCGTCCGCCATGAGGTTCAGACACGTGGGACATCTCACCTCATGGGCTGGCGTGGACTCGTCCGCGTGATCGGTGTGGGCGGTATCGTCAGAGCTCGCGGTGGAGGCGGCCGGCTCGACGACCGGGTCCGGTCGATAGTCGCCCGCCCTCGGGGAAGGAGGCTCACCTGCCACCTGGGGTCGGACAGGGGTCAGCGGCGGCGGCGATGTCGAAAGAGGGGGAGGGATCGGCGGGGGGCCCGAGGGCCTAGGTGCGGCCCCTGCATCCTGGGGGGAGGGGAGCGGGTGGTCGGGGGCCGCGTCGGAGTCATCGATCACCATGCGCTCCGGTGTGAGGGCGGTGGACGGGGGGGAAGGGGGGGCATGGGAGATGTCTGGGGCAGAGTCCACGGTGCCCCCCCCCACCCGACCCGGACAAGCGGGCGCAGAGGGGGTGGCGGACGCGTCCCATATCCTGAGAAGGTCGGCGACTGCCGCCTCCGTCTCCCCATCTGCCCCCTGCGACTGTCCGCCTGTGGGTAGGGGGAGCAGGGCAGGCTGGTTGGTCGTGGTGGGCGAACCACCGTGGGCCCTGACCTGGGTCGGAGGTTGTGGACCGGAGGGGGACAAAGAGGCGGGTGGTAGGGACCGACGCTGGGGGGGGATATAGGCTTGCTTGCGAGAGGCTAACGACACCTCTTCCGCCTCCGGTTCGATTTCCATCGCGGATGGGGCATCGGCGGCGACCGTCTGGTGGGGAGCCAAAGGCGGGATGGGGGGGTGACAGGGGAATGGGGCCTGGGTGGGGTGAGGGAGGGAGACCGTCCGAAGCTCGCCATCCTGGTTATGGGAGGGCAGTGGGTGGCGGGCCGGGGGCAATGATGGGGTCGCCTGAGGGGTGGTGGATGGTAAGGGCTGCACGCCAGCAGAGGGTGGAGTCGTGTCCGGCTGCTCCGAGCGCCGGGCTGCCCCGGGTGTCCCCGTGCCCTTGCCCTTCTTCCGGCGACCTGTGTGGGGTTGGGCAAACTGTCCAATCAGCGGCTGCCGTGTGACCGCCCCCTGCTGTGGGTGAGGAGTGTGAGAATGGGGCAGCTGGGAGGGTGAGGGGGTGTGGCCGCCGATGGCCGCTTGCCGCGATGGGCTAGCCTGCGCATGGATGGCGGCTTGCCCTGGGGCGGGTGCAGATGGGGACAGGGGGGGAAAGTGAGGGGTGGTGGCGGTGGTGGAATCGGCAGCACCATCCGCAATGCCCCGCCCTCCCCCGACACCTTCCCCGTCCCCTTCCCCCTGGGCGTCTGCCGACATCGCTGCCTGTGCGGAGCGACGGTAAGGGGGGATGTAGGGTTGGGAGGAGACATCATGCAGGTCCCCTACTCCTATTTTGTCGACGTCCATCGCGGATGGGTGGCTCGCTGCGACCACCTGAATACTGACGGGCAAGGAGTGTGTGGGGCAGGAAGGGGGAGGGTGAGATGGGGGGGCCGCCCTCGCCTCGCCCCTGTTCGCGCTGATGGGCCGGGCGGGAGTGGGGGGGCAGGGCAAGAGAGGTGGTTGGGCAGCAGGGTAAGGGTTAAGCGTGGGTGGGACGCTCAATGGAGGGGGTGGGAAGGGTGGGTGCCCCAGCGCTGGGCTGGAGGGTGTGTGAGACGGAAGTGACAAGGGAGGGCCCAAGAGGGAGGCACTCCCGTGGTCGCCTGCCGTGCGGGACATGAAACCTGGGGGCTGCACGAAAGGGCGCGAGGGGAGTTCCGGCTGGATTGCCGGGGAAAGGGGGCGGGTGGGATGTGTGGGAGAGGGAGGGGGGGGGCGGGGCGCGGGCAAGGTAGGGCCCACGGCCGGGAAGGGAAGCAGAGTGGGCGCCGAGGGACCCCCGCCTTGCCCGAAGCTTAGCTGTGGGGCTTGGGAAGTGGGATCAGCCGGGGTGAGACGGCGAGGGCCGAGAGGGAGTTGATTCGGGTTGCTCCCCCTTGCGAGGGGTGCACCCCGCTCACCGTTCCTATGGGAAGCGCCCATGTGGCCGACAGGGTGTGTGCCCTGTGCCGGGCGGGAGGCACCTGGGGTGGAACAGGGTTGGGGGCGGACTGACGAGGGGGGTTGGGCAAGAGCCGCCCCTCCTTGTGCTACCCAGGTCGAGGCGTCCGGCGCGACAGCCTGCGTGGGTGGGGAGGGGGAGGGAGCAACCTGCCCGGCTGTTGTTTGTGCTCCTGGCGCGGGCGCGAGGGCTGATGAGGGAGAGCATGGAAGGGTTGAGTCGACCAAGATATATCCGGCGAGCGGGCCATCATTGTCCGGGCCATCCTCGGCGGCCGCCTCGTGGGGCACACTCGGCTGTAAGGGGAGGGTGTGGGGGGAGAGGGAGTGGTGAGACTGCGTCCCGATCATTGGCTCGGGTGTACAGGGGTCCGCCAAAAACGCCAAGGCTCGGGCCGCCCCGCCCATAGCCCTGGGTTGTAGCCCACAGCGAGGGCCCTGCGCCGCTGGTGAAGCCCCTGCATGCATGGGATTGGGAGTAGGGGGGGGAAGGGGGGGACGGGGGACCGCAAGGGAAGTAGGGGGAGGAGGGGAAGGAGGGGGGGGGAGGGGGGAGATGGGGGGGGTGGGAGGGGATGAGACAGTCTCTTCCGGCCCAGGTGCTGCCCTGTGTCCGGCCTCCTTAGCCCTCGTCCCAGTTACTGCCTTACCTTCAGCCGCTCCGGCTGCTGTCTCTCTCACCACACCTCCTGCTGGAGCTGCCGCAGCTGCTGCCCTTCCTGCAGCGGCTCCCGCTGCCCTCTCCCGTGCAGCACCTCTTGCCGCTGCCCGTGTTGCTGCTGTTGCTGCCTTCCCTGCTGCCGCCCCAGCTGCCCTTCCTGTTGCTGCCATCCCCGCAGCTACCCCGGCGGTTGTCTCCCCCGCGGCACGCCCTGCTGATCCTGCTGCTACCTTCCCTGCGGCCGCTTCCGCTGCTGCCCCCGGTGCGGCACCCCCTGCTGCCCCTTTTTCCGCTGACACCACCACAGCCGCCGCCGCCGCCGCTGCCGCCGCCGCCGCTGTCGCGGCCCTGCTAGCCGCTGCCTGCGAAACAGCGGGACCCATTGCTACTTTCCCTGCCGCTGCCCCCGCTGCTGCCTTCCCTGCCGCAGCACTTGCTGCTGGTTTCCCTGTGGCGCTCCCCCTGGCTGCCTTCCCCGCAGCGGCCCCTATCTCTGCCTCCTCCGCTGCTGCCGCAGCAGCTGCCAGACGTGCATACATCCCCCCCCCGGTAATAGCCCGTGCGAGAGCGCGTACAACAGCTCCCTTTCCTGCCTCCTCCGCCGTAGGTAGCCTTGCCGCTGCTGCCGCCTCCGGCGGCTCTCCTATCCCTGCCGCACCAGCAGCCGCCCCTGCACGTGCTCCTGTTGCTGCTGCTGCCGCTGCTGCTGCTGCTGCCTCTGCCGTTGTCCCTGCCCCCGCCGCCTCAGCAGGGACTCCTTCATCTGCTTCCCCGGCAGCCACCCTGGCCGCTGCAGCGGCCCCAGCCATCACCGCCTCTGCGGCATCCCGAGCCCCGGTCGCTGCGCCCCTCGCAAGATCGGCTGCTGCTGCCTCCTCTGCGGTGGCAGCTCCAGCTCCTGCCGCTGTCGCCGCCTGCACCGCCGCTGCTCCCGCCTCTGCCGCCTCTGCAGGGGCGCCTGCTGTTGCTGCTGTCCCCAAATCCGCCCCGGCTGCCCCTGTGGCCCCTGCTGCTGCTGCCTCTGCCGCATCCCGAGCCCGAGCCCGAGCCGATGCACCTCTTGCATGATCCATTGCTGCCGCCTCCTCCGCGGAGGCCCCAGCTGTTGCCGCCGCTGCCCATGCTCCCGCTGCCACCGTCTCTGCTGCAGCCCCAGCTGTTGCTGCCGCCGCCGCGACCACCCCCCCGGCTGCTGCCAACTCTGGAGCGGCCCCACCCCCAGCGGCTGCTACCTCTGCAGGGTCTCCTTCTGCCGCCCCCGCTGCAGCTGGCCCAGGTGCCTGCGCCTCTGCCGGTGCTGGAGCTGCTGCCACTTCTGCAAAGACCTTTGCGGCAGCCCCCACAGCCGCCCCTCCCACCACGGCTGTCGTTCCTCCCCCTGCGGCTACAGCCCGTGCTGCTGCCGCCTCTGCAGCCGCCTTTTCCACCTTCCCCCATGCAGCCTCTCCTGCCTCCGCCTCTGCCATAGCAGCTTCCGCTGGAGTACCCCCTGCGGTGACTCCTGCGGCAGCCTCCTTTGCCGCGGTCCTGATGGCTGCCACTGTTGCAACCGCCCCTGCAGTTGCCACACCTGCAGCCTCTCCTGCTGCTGCCTCCGGCGCCGCACCACATGCGGCCATGGACCGCGCATAGGCCCGGGCCATACCCTCTAATGCTGCCCTCTCTACCCCAGCCCGTGCCACCTCCCCCTCCGCCTCCGCTCCAGCTGCCGCTCCTGCCAACTCCACGGCTCCCGTCGCTGGCTCCCCTGCTGAGGACACGGCCTCGAGCCTGGCTGCACTAGGAGCGGGTGCTATGAGCTCAACTACGTCCTCATCCGAGTCCTCGGCGCCCTCCAAAACCCAATCCGAGTCCTTCGCGTTGTCCCCATCCGAGTCCCCGGCCTCGTCCCACTCTGAGTCCTCACCAGCCCCCACCGTCTCTGCCGATCTTTCCCCCTCCGCCCTCTCCGTCACCCCCACTTTCACCTCCCACACCCCCATCTCTGCTGCCACCTCTGCAGGACCCCCCGGTGCTGCCGCATCCCCCTCCCCTGCCACAGGCCCTGCTGCGGCCTCACCTGTGCCAGCCTTGCTACCTGTGGCCATGGGTGTGGAGGAGGTGGGGGCTCTCCTGGCGCTAGTGTTGGCCTGTGGGAGTGGCGGAGGGGGGGCAGATGACTTTTTGCGACCATGGGAGCGCGAGCGTGTGGCTTCGCGCTCCTGCTTCTCCAGGCGTGAGGCGGGGCCTTCCTCTGCCTTCTCCCGTGGTCGTTTCCGGCCTCGCGAGGCAGAGCGCACCTGGTCCCCGCCCTTGCCGACGGTCACCTCGACGCGGGCTGGCGGGGCGATACTGTTGGGTGGGGGGATGGAAGACGATGAGTAGGGGGAAGGGCGGCCACCGGCTCTGCCTGACCGTCGGAGAGCACCGGGGCCGCCCTCCCCCGCATTGCAGGGGGTGTGGGTCATGGCCACGGGGACTGCATGCTAGAAGAGGGGGAGGAGGGGGAAGCAGGGGGGGAAGGGAGGGAGGAAAACAGCGGGGAAAGAAGGTGAGATCAGAGAAACTGCGTGGAGTGGGGAGGGGGACAGGGGGGGGAGGATAGGGAGAGAACAGGGGGCGGCGATTAGAGGAGGGTTATGGCGCTCGACTGTGGGGAGACGTACGGGGTGAAGGTGGGGAAACGGGGATAGGACAAGATGGAAAGAAACAGCCTGCAGGGACAGGGGGAACTGGAAGGAGAGGAGGGGGAGGAGTGAAGAGCACCGGGTGTGGGGCGGGACGATTTCGGGGGTGGAAACTGACGTGTGAGTTGGTGGGAGCAAGGAGGGAAAAATCAGAGGGCGAGGGGCGGAAAAGCAGCGAGGAAGAGGGAGAAAACGCACTGGGCAAAAGAGGCGAAGAGCAGTGGGCAAGGGGGGGAAATCAGTGGGCCAGGGGGAAGGTCAGTGGGCAGCGGGGGAAGAGTAGAGGGCAGGGCGGGGAACAGCAGTGGGCAATGGGGAGGAAGGGGGTGGGCAAGGAGGGGAAAGGCAGTGGGCAATGGGGGGAGGAATGGTGGGCGAGGGGGGAAAAGCAGTGGGCAATGGGAGAAAAGTAGTGGGCTAGGGGGAAGGGAGGGGGAAACAAGGGGAAAAGAGTGGAAAGCAGGATAGAATACGAGGGGGAAACAACGGGGGACAGTAGGGGAGAGCGGGCGGGGATAAGAGTGGGGGAACCAAGGGGGGAAAGGGGGGAGGAACACGAAGAAAATGGGGGAAAGCGGGGGGGAAGTGGGTAATCAAAGGAGAGGGTCGGGAGTGGAGAGAGGACCGGAGGATGGGTGGGACCCAAATGGGCAGCAAAACGGGCAGGGGGGAAGAACAGCGGGGAGGCGGGGGGGAAAGCAGCGGGAACACAGGGGGGGGGGGGGAAGCAACGGGCCAGGGGGGGAATGGCGGCGGGCAAGGGAGGAGAAGCAGCGGACCAGGGGGAAAAGCAGCTGGCAATGGGCGAATAACAGCGGGCAAGGGGGGGAAAGCAGGGGCAAGAGAGGGTAAAGCAGCGGGCAAGGGGGGGAGAATCAGCGGGTAAGGGGGAAGACGAGCGGCAAAGGGGGAAAAGCAACAGGCAAGGGGGGGAAAGGCAACGGGCAAGGGTGGGAAAGGCAACGGGCGAGCAACAGGCCAGTGGGAAAAGCAACAGGCCAGGGGGAAAAGCAGCGGGTAATGGGGGGAAAATAACAGCGGGCAATGGGGGGAAAGGCAGGGCCAAGGGAGGGGAAGGCAACGGGCAAAGAGGGGAAAACAGCGGGCAAGGGGTGGGACAAGCGGCGGACAAGGGGGGGATAACCGCGGGCGAGGGGGGGAAAAGCAGGGGCAAGGACGGGAAAAGCAACTGGCGAGAGTAGAAGAGCAAGCGGGCAAGGGGGGAAAAGCGGCGGCAAGGGGGGAGAAGCAGCGGGCACGTGAGGAAAGGCAGCAGGGAAAAGTAGCAGCGGGCAGTGAGGGGGAACGATACTGGACCAAAGTGGGGGGCAAGGAGGGGAATGGCAGTGGGCACGGGGGAAAAGCAATGGGCACGGGGGGGAAACGCGTGGGCCGGGAGAGAAAATGTGTGGGTAAGTGCGTAGAGTTAGTGGGCAAGTAGGGACAAGCAGTGGGCAAGGAGGGGGAACAGCAGTGGACAAGGAGGGGGAAGAGTAGTGGGCACGGGGGGAGGGATGGGGAAAACGGAGGGCAGACTCCTGGGAAACAGTGGGGGGAGATATCACGGAACCGGGAAGAGGGGTGGGGGAGACAGGGAGGTACTAGGGGGAAACTGGAGGGGGTATATGGGGAAGCCTGGTGGGGAAAAAGGGGGGAGACCTGGGGGGGAGTGGGGGAAGCCGGGGAGCAGCGGGCAGGGAAGCGGGGGAGCAGCGGGCAGGGAAAGTGGGGGAGCAGTGGGCAGGGAAAGTGGGGGGGAGCAGCAGGCAGGGAAACGGGAGAGCAGCGGGCAGGGAAGCGGGAGAGCGGCGGGCAGGTGAAGTGGGGAAAAGCAGAGGCTAGGGGGGGGGGGGGGAGGATAGCAGCGAGGCAAAGAAGGGGGGAAAAGCAGCGGGCGAAGGGGGGAAAAGCAGCAGAACAGGGGGGAAAAGCAGCGGACAAGGGGGGAATAACAGCGGGCAAGGGGGCTAAGGCAGGGGCAAGGGACTGAAAAACAACGGGCAAGGGGGAGAAAATCGGCGGGCAAGGGGGGAAGAGCAGTGGGCAGAGGGGGGAGAAACAGCGTCCGTGGGAGGGAATAGCAGCGGGTAAGGGGGGAAGAGCAAGGGCGAGTGAGGGAAAGGCAACGGGCGAGGGGGAAAAAGGCAACGGGCAAGGGGGGAAAAGCAGCGGGCAAGTGGGGGAAAACAGCTCAGCACCGTGCATTGGGGGGACAATGAGCGGCACAGGGTGAAAGACAGCGGGCGGGCGAGGGAAAAACTGCGGGCTAGGAGGGACAGAGCAGTGGCTTGGGGGGGGAAGCCATGGACAAGGGGGGAAAAGCAAGAGGCAAAGGGGGGGAAAATCGGCGACAAGGGAGGGAGAGTAGAGGCAAGGGGGGGGGAAGCGGCGGCAAAAAAGGGGAGAAACAGCGAGCTAAGGAGGGGGAACAGCAGCGGGCGAGAGGGAGGAGCAGCGGGCGAGGGGGAGAAAGCAGCGGCAAGGGGGGAAGCGGCGGGCAGAGGGGGGAGAAGTACCGGGCGGGGGTGGAAAAGCAGCGGGGAACGTGGGGAAAGGCAGCGGCAGGGGGGGAAACGGCGAGCTGTGGAGCCGGGGAAGCGGCGAGCTGGGGGGAAGGGGCAGCGGCGAGTTGGACAGAGGGCGAGGTGGCGAGCTGGGGAGAGGGAGAAATTGCGAGCCGGGGGAAAGGGGAAAGCGGCAAGCTAGGCAGGGGGGGAAATGGCGAGCAGGGGCAGAGGGGACGTTGAGCAGGGAAAGGGGGAACGGCGAGCAGGGAAAGGGGGGACGGCGAGCTGGGAACGGGGGGACGGCGAGCTGGGAAAGGGGGGAACGGCGAGCTGGGAAAGGGGGGAACGGCGAGCAGGGAAAGGGGGGGATGGCGAGCTAGGGAAGGGGGGGGACGTCGAGCTGGGAAGGGGGGGGACGTCGAGCTGGGAACGGGGGGAACGGCGAGCAGGGAAAGGGGGGACGGCGGGCAGGGAAAAGGGGGGAACGGCGAGCTGGGAAAGGGGGGAACGGCGAGCTGGGAAAGGGGGGACGGCGAGCTGGGAAAGGGGGGAACGGCGAGCTGGGAAAGGGGGGAACGGCGAGCAGGGAAAGGGGGGGACGGCGGGCAGGGAAAAGGGGGGGAACGGCGAGCTGGGAAAGGGGGGAACGGCGAGCTGGGAAAGGGGGGACGGCGAGCTGGGAAAGGGGGGACGGCGGGCAGGGAAGGGGGGGTAAGCCGAGCAGGGAAAAGGAGGGGGACGTCGAGCTGGGAACGGGGGGGACGGCGAGCAGGGAAAGGGGGGGATGGCGAGCTGGGAAAGGGGGGGGACGTCGAGCTGGGAACGGGGGGACGTCGAGCTGGGAACGGGGGGGGACGTCGAGCTGGGAACGGAGGGGACGTCGAGCTGGGAACGGGGGGAACGGAGAGCAGGGAAAGGGGGGGACGGCGGGCAGGGAAACGGGGGGGACGGCGAGCTGGGAAAGGGGGAACGGCGAGCAGGGAAAGGGGGGATGGCGAGCTAGGGAAGGGGGGGACGTCGAGCTGGGAAGGGGGGGACGTCGAGCTGGGAACGGGGGAACGGCGAGCAGGGAAAGGGGGGACTGCGGGCAGGGAAAAGGGGGGGAACGGCGAGCTGGGAAAGGGGGGAACGGCGAGCAGGGAAAGGGGGGGACGGCGAGCTGGGAAAGGGGGGGACGGCGGGCAGGGAAGGGGGGGTAAGCCGAGCAGGGAAAAGGGGGGGGACGTCGAGCTGGGAACGGGGGGGACGGCGAGCAGGGAAAGAGGGGGATGGAGAGCTGGGAAAGGGGGGGACGTCGAGCTGGGAACGGGGGGGACGTCGAGCTGGGAACGGGGGGGGACGTCGAGCTGGGAACGGAGGGGACGTCGAGCTGGGAACGGGGGGAACGGAGAGCAGGGAAAGGGGGGGACGGCGGGCAGGGAAACGGGGGGACGGCGAGCTGGGAAAGGGGGGAACGGGGAGCAGGGAAAGGGGGGGACGGCGGGCAGGGAAGGGGGGGTAAGCCGAGCAGGGAAAGGGGGGGGACGTCGAGCTGGGAACGGGGGGGACGGCGAGCTGGGAAAGGGGGGGACGGCGGGCAGGGAAAGGGGGGATGGCGAGCTGGGGAAGGGGGGGGACGGCGAGCTGGGAAAGGGGGGAACGGCGAGCTGGGAAAAGGGGGGACGGCGAGCAGGGAAAGGGGGAACGGCGAGCTGGGAGAGGGGGAGGCGGCGAGCAGGGAATAAGGGGGGGGACGGCGGGCAGGGAAAGGGGGGGAAGGCGAGCTGGGAATGGGGGGAACGACGAGCTGGGGGGTAGGGGACGGCGAGCACGGGAGAAAAGGGACGGCGACGGTGGGAAGGGAGGGACGACGAGCAGGGAAGGGAAGGGAGTGACGCGCGCTGGGAGAGAGGGGTGACGCGCGGGCAGGAAACGTGGGGGACGGCGGGAGGAAGGGAGGGAAAACGGCGGGAAGGGAAGGAGGTGAACGGCGAGCTAGGAGTTGGTAACCGCGCTATCAAATGCAGCCGTGGTTCTCACCTAGTTTCGCGCGGGAACGAAATACGGGGACGGCGCGCCAGGGAATACACGAAGGGTGCGCTAAGTGAGAGGGGGAGAGAGGACGCTGTAACGAACGGAAAAACGAACTGGTGCTGGCGACCGATTTTAGGGTTAGGTGGCGTGGCGCGGATCTAAGCTTAGAAACTAGAAAGCTGAGAAAAGCGCGACGCGGTGAACTAGAAGAGAGAGAGGGAGGAGGGTGGGAGGCGAGCGAGAGTGACGGGGGACTTAGCCGGGGTGGGATGGCGAGATCGACGGGGGTGGCGAAAAATCGCTCGACACCGCAGGGTCGTGTTCGCCGCCGCTTCCGTCTCACCCGCTCGTAGCCGTTGCCGATACCCTCCCGTTACAGTACTGGGCAGGGTGACCTCCCGGGAAGTCCTCGTGTCGTACCCATTTCTGCCTGCTCCCGTGCCCGGGAGGGGGCAGTGGGAAAAAGAAAGGAGGATTCTTCTCCGAACCGCCCGGGCGGCGATGTCGCGCCGCTCTGCGGAGGGCCGCTCTCTGCATAGGACGCCACGGAGCGCGACTACGTATGGGCGTCCATTCCGCCCCCAGCGAGATGGCGAGCCTCTTGCGGGCACGACCGCGGATGTGACTATAAAGAGGGGAGCTGCATCGGGGGAGGAGTGGGAAGCGGACCGCGGACAGGACTGCACGTGGTACGATCATACCTTGGCTACTACGCCGGATCCCATCAGAACTCCGCAGCGTAGCGCCAGTGGGCGAGAGCAGTACTGGGCAGGGTGACCTCCCGGGAAGTCCTCGTGTCGTACCCATTTCTGCCTGCTCCCGTGCCCGGGAGGGGGCAGTGGGAAAAAGAAAGGAGGATTCTTCTCCGAACCGCCCGGGCGGCGATGTCGCGCCGCTCTGCGGAGGGCCGCTCTCTGCATAGGACGCCACGGAGCGCGACTACGTATGGGCGTCCATTCCGCCCCCAGCGAGATGGCGAGCCTCTTGCGGGCACGACCGCGGATGTGACTATAAAGAGGGGAGCTGCATCGGGGGAGGAGTGGGAAGCGGACCGCGGACAGGACTGCACGTGGTACGATCATACCTTGGCTACTACGCCGGATCCCATCAGAACTCCGCAGCTAAGCGCCAGTGGGCGAGAGCAGTTATTTTATTAATAACAAAGAGAGTTACAAGTCATATAGCCAATATGAAACCGAAGTTGGAAATTTCGGCATGAATGTTACGCTATACGACCACAGTAATGTTTTTGGAAGTTAGGAAGAGAAGGGAAAGAAGAGAAGAGAAAGTAGAGAGGAAAAGAAGAGAAGGGAAGGTAGAAAGAGAGGGAAAGAAAGAGAAGGATAGAAGAAGTAGGAGGATCAAGAAAGATAGGAGTAAGGGAAAAGAAAGGGGGAGGTGAGAGAGGTGGAAGAGAGGAGGGGTGTGACTGTAAGGAGGGAGGGGTCCAAGGGACACGACAAAGCAGCAACCCGCGCCTACAGCGCAGACACAGCGTTTCAAGCACAGCCTACTCTTGTTTTGATCTACACATAGCCATCAAACAGGTACTGCATATCGGCCACACTGTCAAAGCAGCCACTGATGTGATGTCCGCTCCAGCTGCCTGCGCCAAGCGGTACCGGTATCGGCATCCATGCATCGTCCGACTCTCCCAGCTGTCGCACTGCATGCTGTGTGATAATGTTCGCCTGCGCACGCTGCAGCGCCACTGAAACTCGCGTGGTGAGAGCGCACTCAAAGATCCGCGCCGATGCCTCCTCCCCACTACCCGCGTCCCGCCGCTGCGTCGCTATGCGCTGTGAGCAGAGCCCCAGAAAATCTCGCAGTGGCACGCTCAAGTGCCCGAAAGTCTCAGCAACGCACGCATAGAACATCGGCTCCGGCTGCACTCCTACCAAGGCCGGCCGCCAGTCCCTGATCTTCTCCTGCACCCGCCTCGTCGCCGCCACCCCCCGCTGTGTGGATGCCGCTCGCCGAAACTGTGCGTTCCCACCCCGCTGTGGATCCGCTATCGACACGTCTATAATAATCATGAGTGCCTTCTCAGCGTCGCGGCATGTGAGGTCGGGGATGCGTGCGGGTGCTCCTGCGCGGCCTGCGCGTCCGGCTGTGCTGTGCTGCAGTGTGGGCTGCTGCCTAGTCGTGTCCCCTGGTCCCCCTCCTCCTTGTGCCATTGTCCCCCCCTCATCCTCCTCTCTCACCCTCCCTTCCCTTTCCCTTGCCCCTACCCCTCCCAACCCACCTGCCTCTCCTATCCCCTCCCCCAGACCCTCTCCATCTACCTGCCCCGCTCCTCCCGTCCTCCCCACTCCCTCGCCCCCCCCGTCCCCCCTGCTATCCCCCCTCCCCGTGCCACTCTCTCGCCCTCCTGTGCCCCTGTCCCCTGGCGGGGATCAAGCTCCACACCCCCTCTGGCCCCTCTAGCTGCCTCTGGCCCGTCCCGTGCTCGGTCCCCTGCTATCTGACCCCCTCCCTCGACCATGACTATCTCCTCGATCTCCTCCCCCCCACCACCCTGTGGTCGGGCTGCCCCCCCCTCTCCTGCGGTACCCTGAGTCCTTTCCCCCCGAGCCCCATCCGCCCTTCCCCCTTCCTGAGCCCCCCGTCTCCCTCGCCCCAGGCGCCTCCCCTGGCCCTCCCTCAGCTGCGGCTGCTGCGGCTGTACCGTCCTACCGTGTGAAACGGGCTGTCCCTGTGGCCGTGGCCCCTGTCCAAGGACTCCCGCCTCTGTCCCCCGCGTCTGCGGCACCAGCCGTGCCTGCTGTCCCGACCGTCCCGGCAGTCCCCACACTCCCTGCTGTCCTGGTGCTCCCCCCCCTCCCTCGTGTCCCTCCCCCCCACCCTGCTGCCCCTCCCCCCTCCTTGCTGTCCCTCCCCCCCACCCTGCTGTCCCTCCCCCCTCCCTGCTGTCCCTCCCCCCCTCCCTGCTGTCCCTCCCCCCCTCCCTGCAGTCCCTCCTCCCCTCCCTGGGCCCTCTGTGCCCCCCGTCCTGTCCGAGTCCGTCCCTGTGCCAGCGTAGGCCCTCCCGCCTGTGCCCCCTCCCGCTGCTGCTGGGCTGTTAAGCGCCGTCGCACCTCCTCCAGGTGTGGGATGAGCGCCGTGTCCTCCACCCTGACCGCGAAACCCGCCTCGCGCGCGATGTCGCGGAGGACGTACTTCACGGCGTTGTGGACGGTCGTGGTGACGTGGTAGTGCTGACAGCGTACGACGTGGTGGGGCACCGACATGTCCTCGATCTCCCGTCCGCACGAGCAATGACCTGTAAGGGCTAACTGGGGGATAGACAGACCAAGGCGAAAACATGAAGCCACCTGCCACTGCGCCTCCGGGATGCGCAGTGGATCTGCATAAGGGACCGCCGTGAGCCACGCGCCTGCATCTGCGCCCTGAAGGGATGTCAAACGGGCAAGATGCAAAGGGTCAGTGTGACGTCCACGAACGGACTCTAATGCCGCCGCCTCTAGGTGCCGACTCACCTCAGAAAACAGACCGTCCGGCGCGCTCGAGATGCAAGAGGACAGGGGTGGCAGCAAGGCCCGGACTGACGGTGGGAGGTCTGCCAAAGCCGTCGCGATGTGGGGATCGATCCCTGCGGGGTCATCCGCCGCGAGCGCCCGTCTGAAGGACTCACCGATCTGTGGGAGGGAGCAGAGGATGGGGGCGCACTGCGCCCAGGAGCAGAGGTAGCTCGCTGGCGCCGCGCGCGCCATGCGGCGGATGCCGAATCCGCCCAGCCTAATGGGCAGAAATGCCTGGTCCAAGGCCGCGCCGCGTATCTCTCCTCCTCCGCTCCAGGTGCCCGCGACGAATAGCCGCTGGAAGGCCTCGCCGAGGCCATCGTCCCAGCGCGCGAAGATGGAGCGCACCGCCTGTGTGGGCGGGACCGTGCGCGCTAGGTACTGAGGGCGCGTGCTGACGCATGCTGAGAGCAGGTGCGCAGCCACCTGGGGGTCACGCAACCTAGGCAGCCACGGCAGCACTCGGGCCATCCGCTCCAGGCGCTCCCTGAGTCTCGTGTGGACGAAATCCTCCGTGCCGACAGGCACCCCCGCAACCGTCAAACCCCGGCGCGCGACATCGAGGCCGAGGGCGGTGAAGCCTGCCAACTCCTCCGGTCGTGTGGACGCCGCTGGGTAGACCAGGCACTTGTGCGGCTGGACCGAGAGGCCCAGCTCGCCCAAGCGCCTCTGAATGGCAGTGAAGCTCTGCAACACCCTCTCTGGTGTGCCCAGGACGTACGTGTCATCCGCGTATGACCACAGCTGCACGTCCCCGTCCGCCAGCACTGGCTCCAGTGCCAGCCTCTGTGTCAGGGCAAAGAGAAATGGGCTCAGAGGGTCGCCCTGACGAGATCCTCGCTCTGAGCGGATGGTGGTGACTCCTCGCCCGGTCCGAAAGAACAGCGAGGATGGCGTGCCGTAGAAAAGGGCAACGAAAGGGATGAGGCAGCGAAACTCGGAGCTCGCTCGCAGTGCCTCGAACAAGCGATCGCGGTGATACGAGTTAAAGGCGTTCGCCACGTCGAGCTCGACGACCACCCAGTCCGGGTGGTCCGCCCTGCCGCGACGGACGCCCCTAACGACCAGCTCAGTACCGCAGGTCACCCCGACCCCGAACTGCTGTGATGGTAGAAAGACTCGAGCCATCGGCTCGCGCAACTGCAGGCATGCCGCCCGCTGGAGTAGGCGCGCAAGGACCTCGCCTATGGCTATCGGCCGAACGTCCATGTTCGGCTTGGAGAGCGCGACGAGGGTGGATGATGCCAGCATGGGAAGTGCGGCCGGGGCGCAGTCGCCCCGGAGCCACTGCTGGTAGACAGCAAGCAAGGTAGGGAGGGCCTTCGGGAAGGCCAAGAAGGTGTCGCGGAAGTGCTCGGCCACCCATCCCGAAGGTCCTCCCGAAGAGCCCCTCGGAGCGGTGAAAATGGCCCTGCGCAGATGCTCAATGCTCAGGACCAGGGCTGCATCCCGGAAGGAGGCCACCCATGCTGGGATGGGGCGCTCCGCGCAAGGGTGCTTCGCCCGTAGGCGGTGCACCGTCTGATCTCCGTCCGGGGCCGCCTCTGCCGACTCCAAGGCCGCACAAGCACGTGACGTCTCATTGCACGCTGCCAGGCGGAGGCAACGGGCAATGCGGCGCTCGTCAGGCGTCGGAGTCGCGGCGCGGGCGCGGCGTGTCGTGCATGCCGCGAGGGGTGTGCGGCGGTGGAGCGCCTCTGCTATGAGGGCGTCCCAATCTCCACCAAGGAAGCGCGCAATGCGCGCAGTGATGGCCGCCGTATGTGATCGTGCAGGTGGTGTAGCGGGCGTGAGGAGGAGGGTCGGGATGGCCAACAGCAGAAACGTCGGCCCGCCCGCCCTGGGGTGCTGGCTGATGCGCTGCAAGATCGCGCAGAGGACATCCACGTACCCCCCGCGAACCCTCGGCGGGATACGCCGGAGCGGGCGAGCATGCATGCGTCTCGGTGAGAAATAATCCGTCCAATCGACCGCATCCAAGGACGACCACTGGACGTCCGAGAATGTGACGACGGAGGCGCGTGGCTCGCTGAATGAGGGAGGGGAAGAGGTGGCATCCTGCAGGGCCTCCGCCCTGCGTAGAGCATCGGCGGGCTGGCAATGGGGTGCATGGAGAGCAAGAGCGTGGCTGCTCACCAAGGTGCTCCGGCAGGTAGGACACGTGACCGCTAGTCCTCCTGTCGGCACCGCTGTGTCGTGCGGGGGGACTGGCATCGTGCTCTCCGAGCTATCAGCGCCGACGACCGCCTCTTCGATGGGCCCCTGTCCGAGGTCGGTGGCCCAAGTGGGGGGCGGGCCGTGCGTCTGGGGCGGGCAAGGCAATGGCCGGGGGGGAGGAGCGACGGCGGGATGCGCGGGCGTGGGTGAGGATGGTACGACCAAGGGGACAGTGGCTAGGGCGGGGCATGCGTCTGGATGGCAGGCTAGCTCAGTGGCCTCGCCGGGGGACGTAGGAGCTGGGGTGTGGGCAGCTGGAGCAGTGGATGCGTCTGGGCAGAGGGGGTGGTCGGGGGCCGCGTCGGAGTCATCGATCACCATGCGCTCCGGTGTGAGGGCGGTGGACGGGGGGGAAGGGGGGGCATGGGAGATGTCTGGAGCAGGGTCCACGGTGCCCCCCCCACCCGACCCGGACAAGCGGGCGCAGAGGGGGTGGCGGACGCGTCCCATATCCTGAGAAGGTCGGCAACTGCCGCCTCCGTCTCCCCATCTGCCCCCTGCGACTGTCCGCCTGTGGGTAGGGGGAGCAGGGCAGGCTGGTTGGTCGTGGTGGGCGAACCACCGTGGGACCTGGCCTGGGTCGGAGGTTGTGGACCGGAGGGGGACAAAGAAGCGGGTGGTGGGGACCGACGCTGGGGGGGGATATAGGCTTGCTTGCGAGAGGCTAGCGACCCCTCTTCCACCGCCGGTTCGATTTCCATCGCGGATGGGGCATCGGCGGCGACTGTCTGGTGGGGGGCCAGGGGCGGGATGGGGGGGTGACAGGGGAGTGAGGCCTGGGTGGGGCGAGGGAGGGAGACCGTCCGAAGCTCGCCATCCTGGTTATGGGAGGGCAGTGGGTGGCAGGCCGGGGGCAATGATGGGGTCGCCTGAGGGGTGGTGGCTGGTAAGGGCTGCGCGCCAGCAGAGGGTGGAGTCGTGTCCGGCTGCTCCGAGCGCCGGGCTGCCCCGGGTGTCCCCTTGCCCTTGCCCTTCTTCCGGCGACCTGTGTGGGGTTGGGCAAACTGTCCAATCAGTGGCTGCCGTGTGACCGCCCCCTGCTGTGGGTGAGGAGTGTGAGAATGGGGCAGCTGGGAGGGTGAGGGGGTGTGGCCGCCGATGGCCGCCTGCCGCGATGGGCTAGCCTGCGCATGGATGGCGGCCTGCCCTGGGGCGGGTGCAGATGGGGACAGGGGGGGAAAGAGAGGGGTGGTGGCGGTGGTGGAATCGGCAGCGCCATCCGTGAGGCCCCGCCCTCCCCCGACACCTTCCCGTCCCCTTCCCCCTGGGCGTCTGCCGACATCGCTGCCTGTGCGGAGCGACGGTAAGGGGGATGTAGGGTTGGGAGGAGACATCATGCAGGTCCCCTACTCCTGTTGTGTCGACGTCCATCGCGGATGGGTGGCTCGCTGCGACCACCTGAATACTGACGGGCAAGGAGTGTGTGGGGCAGGAAGGGGGAGGGTGAGATGGGGGGGCCGCCCTCGCCTCGCCCCTGTTCGCGCTGATGGGCCGGGCGGGAGTGGGGGGGCAGGGCAAGAGAGGTGGTTGGGCAGTAGGGTAAGGGTTAAGCGTGGGTGGGACGCTCAATGGAGGGGGTGGGAAGGGTGGGTGCCCCAGCGCTGGGCTGGAGGGTGTGTGAGACGGAAGTGACAAGGGAGGGCCCAAGAGGGAGGCACTCCCGTGGTCGCCTGCCGTGCGGGACATGAAACCTGGGGGCTGCACGAAAGGGCGCGAGGGGAGTTCCGGCTGGATTGCCGGGGAAAGGGGGCGGGTGGGATGTGTGGGAGAGGGAGGGGGGGGGCGGGACGCGGGCAAGGTAGGGCCCACGGCCTGGAAGGGAAGCAGAGTGGGCGCCGAGGGACCCCCGCCTTGCCCGAAGCTTAGCTGTGGGGCTTGGGAAGTGGGATCAGCCGGGGTGAGACGGCGAGGGCCGAGAGGGAGTTGATTCGGGTTGCTCCCCCTTGCCGGGGGTGCACCCCGCTCACCGTTCCTATGGGAAGCGCCCATGTGGCCGACAGGGTGTGTGCCCTGTGCCGGGCGGGAGGCACCTGGGGTGGAACAGGGTTGGGGCGGACTGACGAGGGGGTTGGGCAAGAGCCGCCCCTCCTTGTGCTACCCAGGTCGAGGCGTCCGGCGCGACAGCCTGCGTGGGTGGGGAGGGGGAGGGAGCAACCTGCCCGGCTGTTGTTTGTGCTCCTGGCGCCGGCGCGAGGGCTGATGAGGGAGAGCATGGAAGGGTTGAGTCGACCAAGATATATCCGGCGAGCGGGCCATCATTGTCCGAGCCATCCTCGGCGGCCGCCTCGTGGGGCACACTCGGCTGTAAGGGGAGGGTGTGGGGGGAGAGGGAGTGGTGAGACTGCGTCCCGATCATTGGCTCGGGTGTACAGGGGTCCGCCAAAAACGCCAAGGCTCGGGCCGCCCCGCCCATAGCCCTGGGTTGTAGCCCACGGCGAGGGCCCTGCGCCGCTGGTGAAGCCCCTGCATGCATGGGATTGGGAGTAGGGGGGGAAGGGGGGGACGGGGGACCGCAAGGGAAGTAGGGGGAGGAGGGGAAGGAGGGGGGGGGAGGGGGGAGATGGAGGGGGTGGGAGGGGATGAGACAGTCTCTTCCGGCCCAGGTGCTGCCCTGTGTCCTGCCTCCTTAGCCCTCGTCCCAGTTACTGCCTTACCTTCGGCCGCTCCGGCTGCTGTCTCTCTCACCACACCTCCTGCTGGAGCTGCCGCAGCTGCTGCCCTTCCTGCAGCGGCTCCCGCTGCCCTCTCCCGTGCAGCACCTCTTGCCGCTGCCCGTGTTGCTGCTGTTGCTGCCTTCCCTGCTGCCGCCCCAGCTGCCCTTCCTGTTGCTGCCATCCCCGCAGCTACCCCGGCAGTTGTCTCCCCCGCGGCACGCCCTGCTGATCCTGCTGCTACCTTCCCTGCAGCCGCTTCCGCTACTGCCCCCCGGTGCGGCACCCCCTGCTGCCCCTTTTTCCGCTGACACCACCGCAGCCGCCGCCGCCGCCGTTGCCGCCGCCGCCGCTGTCGCGGCCCTGCTAGCCGCTGCCTGCGAAACAGCGGGACCCATTGCTACTTTCCCTGCCGCTGCCCCCGCTGCTGCCTTCCCTGCCGCAGCACTTGCTGCTGGTTTCCCTGTGGCGCTCCCCCTGGCTGCCTTCCCCGCAGCGGCCCCTATCTCTGCCTCCTCCGCTGCTGCCGCAGCAGCTGCCAGACGTGCATACATCCCCCCCCCGGTAATAGCCCGTGCGAGAGCGCGTACAACAGCTCCCTTTCCTGCCTCCTCCGCCGTAGGTAGCCTTGCCGCTGCTGCCGCCTCCGGCGGCTCTCCTATCCCTGCCGCACCAGCAGCCGCCCCTGCACGTGCTCCAGTGGGCGAGAGCAGTACTGGGCAGGGTGACCTCCCGGGAAGTCCTCGTGTCGTACCCATTTCTGCCTGCTCCCGTGCCCGGGAGGGGGCAGTGGGAAAAAGAAAGGAGGATTCTTCTCCGAACCGCCCGGGCGGCGATGTCGCGCCGCTCTGCGGAGGGCCGCTCTCTGCATAGGACGCCACGGAGCGCGACTACGTATGGGCGTCCATTCCGCCCCCAGCGAGATGGCGAGCCTCTTGCGGGCACGACCGCGGATGTGACTATAAAGAGGGGAGCTGCATCGGGGGAGGAGTGGGAAGCGGACCGCGGACAGGACTGCACGTGGTACGATCATACCTTGGCTACTACGCCGGATCCCATCAGAACTCCGCAGCGTAGCGCCAGTGGGCGAGAGCAGTACTGGGCAGGGTGACCTCCCGGGAAGTCCTCGTGTCGTACCCATTTCTGCCTGCTCCCGTGCCCGGGAGGGGGCAGTGGGAAAAAGAAAGGAGGATTCTTCTCCGAACCGCCCGGGCGGCGATGTCGCGCCGCTCTGCGGAGGGCCGCTCTCTGCATAGGACGCCACGGAGCGCGACTACGTATGGGCGTCCATTCCGCCCCCAGCGAGATGGCGAGCCTCTTGCGGGCACGTTCGCGGATGTGACTATAAAGAGGGGAGCTGCCTCGGGGGAGGAGTGGGAAGCGGACCGCGGACAGGATTGCACGTGGTACGATCATACCTTGGCTACTACGCCGGATCCCATCAGAACTCCGCAGCGTAGCGCCAGTGGGCGAGAGCAGTACTGGGCAGGGTGACCTCCCGGGAAGTCCTCGTGTCGTACCCATTTCTGCCTACTCCCGTGCCCGGGAGGGGGCAGTGGGAAAAAGAAAGGAGGATTCTTCTCCGAACCGCCCGGGCGGCGATGTCGCGCCGCTCTGCGGAGGGCCGCTCTCTGCATAGGACGCCACGGAGCGCGACTACGTATGGGCGTCCATTCCGCCCCCAGCGAGATGGCGAGCCTCTTGCGGGCACGACCGCGGATGTGACTATAAAGAGGGGAGCTGCATCGGGGGAGGAGTGGGAAGCGGACCGCGGACAGGACTGCACGTGGTACGATCATACCTTGGCTACTACGCCGGATCCCATCAGAACTCCGCAGCGTAGCGCCAGTGGGCGAGAGCAGTACTGGGCAGGGTGACCTCCCGGGAAGTCCTCGTGTCGTTCCCACTTCTGCCTGCTCCCGTGCCCGGGAGGGGGCAGTGGGAAAAAGAAAGGAGGATTCTTCTCCGAACCGCCCGGGCGGCGATGTCGCGCCGCTCTGCGGAGGGCCGCTCTCTGCATAGGACGCCACGGAGCGCGACTACGTATGGGCGTCCATTCCGCCCCCAGCGAGATGGCGAGCCTCTTGCGGGCACGTTCGCGGATGTGACTATAAAGAGGGGAGCTGCCTCGGGGGAGGAGTGGGAAGCGGACCGCGGACAGGACTGCACGTGGTACGATCATACCTTGGCTACTACGCCGGATCCCATCAGAACTCCGCAGCTAAGCGCCAGTGGGCGAGAGCAGTACTGGGCAGGGTGACCTCCCGGGAAGTCCTCGTGTCGTACCCATTTCTGCCTGCTCCCGTGCCCGGGAGGGGGCAGTGGGAAAAAGAAAGGAGGATTCTTCTCCGAACCGCCCGGGCGGCGATGTCGCGCCGCTCTGCGGAGGGCCGCTCTCTGCATAGGACGCCACGGAGCGCGACTACGTATGGGCGTCCATTCCGCCCCCAGCGAGATGGCGAGCCTCTTGCGGGCACGACCGCGGATGTGACTATAAAGAGGGGAGCTGCCTCGGGGGAGGAGTGGGAAGCGGACCGCGGACAGGACTGCACGTGGTACGATCATACCTTGGCTACTACGCCGGATCCCATCAGAACTCCGCAGCGTAGCGCCAGTGGGCGAGAGCAGTACTGGGCAGGGTGACCTCCCGGGAAGTCCTCGTGTCGTACCCATTTCTGCCTGCTCCCGTGCCCGGGAGGGGGCAGTGGGAAAAAGAAAGGAGGATTCTTCTCCGAACCGCCCGGGCGGCGATGTCGCGCCGCTCTGCGGAGGGCCGCTCTCTGCATAGGACGCCACGGAGCGCGACTACGTATGGGCGTCCATTCCGCCCCAGCGAGATGGCGAGCCTCTTGCGGGCACGCGCGGATGTGACTATAAAGAGGGGAGCTGCCTCGGGGGAGGAGTGGGAAGCGGACCGCGGACAGGACTGCACGTGGTACGATCATACCTTGGCTACTACGCCGGATCCCATCAGAACTCCGCAGCGTAGCGCCAGTGGGCGAGAGCAGTACTGGGCAGGGTGACCTCCCGGGAAGTCCTCGTGTCGTACCCATTTCTGCCTGCTCCCGTGCCCGGGAGGGGGCAGTGGGAAAAAGAAAGGAGGATTCTTCTCCGAACCGCCCGGGCGGCGATGTCGCGCCGCTCTGCGGAGGGCCGCTCTCTGCATAGGACGCCACGGAGCGCGACTACGTATGGGCGTCCATTCCGCCCCCAGCGAGATGGCGAGCCTCTTGCGGGCACGCGCGGATGTGACTATAAAGAGGGGAGCTGCCTCGGGGGAGGAGTGGGAAGCGGACCGCGGACAGGACTGCACGTGGTACGATCATACCTTGGCTACTACGCCGGATCCCATCAGAACTCCGCAGCGTAGCGCCAGTGGGCGAGAGCAGTACTGGGCAGGGTGACCTCCCGGGAAGTCCTCGTGTCGTACCCATTTCTGCCTGCTCCCGTGCCCGGGAGGGGGCAGTGGGAAAAAGAAAGGAGGATTCTTCTCCGAACCGCCCGGGCGGCGATGTCGCGCCGCTCTGCGGAGGGCCGCTCTC